AATAAGCTAACCTGTCGTAAGAGTTCGAAGACTCACGGATCCGAACCACGACGTTATTCGTGTTCAGCACTGTATATGGACCATCCGAAGGTGACTGTAATTTAGGACTCAGTCCTTTTCGTTGAATTGGGTTCCACAACCACACCTTGTCTCCTTTGTTGGATCTCTGTCTAGTAGCTCTTGTGTCGCATCTGGTCTTCATTTTCTCCGTCGCCAAGTTGACTCGCTTTCGTGCAGAACGGTGCATCTTGGATGTGTTCCTCAGGCGATGAAGGCGCATCCGTAGGACGACTAAACAGGCGGTCACAAGGCAGACGAAGGTCTTGACCGAAGAGCTTCTGGGATGGAGAATAGATGGTAGTCTTGAGTTACTTTCGACCCTGGTATGATTTCGGCAGCTTCCCGAGCTCGATCTTTCGGACAAGGCGTCGACATTTCCAGGCGAGGATCCCTTTTGAGGATAAATAATCATGCCATCAGATGCTGAAAGCAGCTTATTGTTTTTGAAATCTAAGGAAAAATTGTATTTCCTTAAAAAGTCCAATCCGAGTATGCATGGATCTGTAATATCCGCCACATATGCCGTGTGATGGTAGGCGACACTTCCAAACGTGATGTTTACGTTTAACTTCCCAGTTATGTCGATCTTGTCACCAGACGCAGTCTGAAGGGTAACACAGGATGGCGTCCAAATAAGTTTATCTTTAAACTGTTCAGCTAAATCTTTCCTAATGATGGTAACATTAGCTCCTGTGTCAATGATCATATTGCAAGGAACTCCATCGATATTCCCATTGATGGACAGTCCGTTATTGTTGCCACTCACTATAGAGATCTTGAGCGCTTTAAAACAGGGTTTTTCATTATCTGGCAACCTCCGTTCCTTGATATGGTCATTAATTTGTTTCCTGTGTTGTTGCTCAGAAATTGTTTCAATTTTCGTACCCTGGGGTGTTCTGCAATTCTTTGGTACGTGGCCTTCAGCTCCACAGTTCCAGCACTTTGGTTTTTGTCAGTCCTTTTCCTTCCCGTGGCATTTAATTGTTTGTTTAAATCGTATGCCTTATTTTCCGTGCTCTGGGGAGTTCTGCATTTCCTTCGTAGGTGGCCTTCAACACCGCAATTCCAGCACTTTTAGGGTCGGTTTCTGTTTCACCACTATTCCGTCTTAAGCATTCACTGGTCTTGTCAACTCATACCGTTTTATTATCCGTGCCCTGGGGTGTTCTGCAATGCCGTCGTAGGTGACCTTCAGAACCACATCTCCAACATCTTACAGCCATTTGTTCTCACTGCTACTCCGTATCAAAGCATCGACTTGTCTGGATAAATCATCTAAACGAGCCATCAATTGATCCACTGGGTCGTGGATTCGCACAGCTCTGACTGGGTAGCGATTCCTACGAGTTGCTTGCTGGGCTGCCTCGAATTTCACGGCGTCGGCGTACAACCAGAGCGCTTTTTACAATCCTTTAACATCTGCCATTCGCAGTGCTTTCTGTATTTCAGGGTCCCGGATGCCATCGATGAAATATTGCAGGGACAGGATTTCTCTCGTTTCTCTCGGGCACTCCGTAAAGGCAAGGTGGATGTGACAGCCTTTCAACATCCGTGGCTAACTCCTGAAGTGTTTCGGTGGGCTTCTGCTGACGGGATTTTAGTTGAAGCCTGCTGTAGTCTTTTAAACACTTCTCTCCAAAGCACAGCTCCAATGCGCCAGATAGAGCTTTAAAGTCTAGTCTTTTGTTTTCGGGAAGAGTCTGAAGGATATCCACTGCGTCGGCTCTTAGAGAAGCGGCGAGATGACAAGCCTTAGCTTGGGAATCCCATCCACTCGCATCCGTCACGATAGAAAATTGTGTCTTATACACCTGCCAGGAGGTCTTCCCATCATATGTGGATAGCTTCAGAGGTGGACGAGCAGGCATTGGTAAGAATTTAAAATCATCACTCCTGTTCCCTGCCGACGCTACGAATTTCTTTAAAGTATCCATTTCTTTGGAAACTGCAGAAACTCTCTCATCAATTTGTTGTTCGACTTGGTGTTGGACGGCACAAACTCTTCCTTCAATTCGTTCCTCTACAGCAGAAACTCTCCCTTCTATATGTTCTTTTACAGAAGAAACTCTTTCTTCTATTTCTTCTTTCACCGAAGAAACTCTTTCTTCAATATGTCCAACTTTATTTTCAACTGCGTCAATTCTGCCTTCCATAGCTTCAAATTTATTTTCTATTATGCAAGTAATTTCTCTTTTCATTTCTTCTTGACCAGCTTGAACGGCTTTCATTTCGTCCTTAACGGATTCCTGGCCCAATTTCATTTCTTCCTTAGCGGATTCCTGGCCCAATTTCATTTCTTCCTTAACGGATTCCTGGCCCAATTTCATTTCTGCTTTAACGGATCTAATCTCTGCTTTAACAGAGTCTTTCATCTCTTCTTTAAATGATGCTTGGCTAGCTTCCATCTTTTCTTGGAATGCAGCAAAAGCATTAATGAGCTGTCTCAATTGTTCTTCCATCGCTCTTGTTATTGACATTCAAATCCCACTTCTGACACCAAAAATTGTTGCGTGCGTACGGGTTCGTTACGAAATGAATACACAAGTGCGATGAAAAATGAACAAAAATTTATTATTATCACAACAAATATGATTAAATGTCCTCAAATAATCGTGCAGTATTACAATATCTCACAGTAGTTATCTTTTAACTACTTAAAATGTCCAATAGAACGTAATTCAAAACAGCTAAAGAACGCTAATCCGCGAATTCGCTACAATCAACAAGAGCAGTTTTCTAAACAACAACAAACTAAGCAACTACTACAAACTGAGATGTTTTCCTCCTTTTATAAGATTTTAAAATCACGCGCTAGAATTTTCCAGTACTTTCTCGAAATCAAAAGAGATATTTATTTATTTAATGCACGCGCTCTTGTATTTTCAATTTTCCGGCTTAGTTTTCTTTTAATATTCGTCACGCGCTGCACTGCGCGAGAAATAAAACCATTTAATTTATAATTGAACTAACATTAGCTTTTTAAATACCAAATTCGTAACAGTATTCGCCGGTGAGGTTTAATTACGGGTCAACTCGATTAGTGATCTTTGTACAGCTTCGGTTAAATTCTAGCCAATTAGAATTACTAGTTTAGTTCCTTATTTTCTATCTTAAGTTAAAGCCCAAGTGAAGGATTTCCTGCAAGCCCGAGGGAGGCTGTCTGTAATATTTCTTTGAGTAATAAAAGAGTATCCAACCCTCCTTTGGACTTATATTTTATAGTTGTAAAAAGCTCAGCGAAGAGTCGCTAGATACCTCTTTAAGGTTCTAGCAGCCAAGGACATGTAAATTAATTAAACTTTATAATGTAACAAGACAGCATTTTCATAGGTTGTAAAGTTTATATTAATTAACCTTTTATTTTATTAGCTTTGTTTTACTTCTACGTTTCTTCAGCCCTCACAAGGATACAAATTACATACGTGTACAGCGTACTTTGGATTATCTGGGCTCAGGGAAGCGGATTACCGATAACTGGAAAACATGGATAATCCAAATTTTCAATTTTCTTGCATATTGTTATGTGTTTATTTCTTAAAAAAATCAGAAGGTTTACTTCGTTTGTGATAACACTTAAATATTTATTCGAATTTGACTATGCTTGTTTCAAACTGCTATTTCAAAGTGATTCCCTTTTGGTCAAGGAAGCCCAATGAAATTTAAAACGAAAGCATTGCTGTTCTCGGGAGTAATGTAATTGTCAACACCTTCTTAGCTTTAGATTTTCAGTGCCACTCTCTTTCCTTTCAGTTCTTGTGATATTTGAAAGGATATCGGCATCATTTTTAATTATTATTATTCATTATTAGCTCTAAAAGTTTTCATCAATTTTTAAATGAATATGAAGGAAATATGCGAAAAAATAGGTACAAAACAAAAGAATCTAAGTGATCAGCAGATACGATTTTTTCGACTATGTACATCCAGAACGAACTGTACGAGGTAATCGTTAAAGCTAAGCCTAAAAATGCAATTCAGAGGTTTCAGTTTTTAAAGTGTTGAACGGACTTCATAGCGTGCGACTTTTGTACGCACTCTCGCGCGCGCGTGTGTGTTGAGTGTGCTTGCTTTGGCACAGCCACATATAGATAATCTGCACCTGAATTATCGTGGCTTTTTTTATATGTACATGTTGGAGCCAAAGCTGTGGCAGCAACGCTGACTGTTGTGCTACTTCATCCCCTGTTTTGGGAATTACTTTAGACCGGTCTCAGCTTCTGCCGTGTTGCTTAAGTAAATTAGATTAGGTTAAGCCAACGCTTAATAGGATTTTGCATTTACGAATATCCAAAGATAATTACTTTCAGTTTTAATTTGCATTATAAGTTAGTTGAATACAACAAGCTGCAGAAATTATTTTGTAAGCACAAGTTCGGCATTTGTTAAGTTCAAAGTTTTAAACAGAAAAGTTTGTTCAAAACTTTCTCTGAGTTTGTAGATATAGTAGGGGATATAAATCTCTGACAGTCACAAAAAGGACCAAGTCAGTTAATAGGCGAGTGGCCCTACAAAGTGAGTAATATTTTATGCAAGCATCGTGACCTTTTTGCAATTTAATTACAGTCAGAGGTTTCTTTAATGGTTCCCACAGCTTATTATTAATAATATTTGAATGCGTTTAAATTAAATTAGGCAAAGGATTTCTAATAAAATTACACTTTAGTTAATGTGGAACTGAAATGTGCATGCATAGATGTTTATGTAAATATATGTGGTGGTGGTGTGAGTTCGTGTATTTGGGGTGGTTTGTGTGTTAATATCCATTTCTGTATGGCAAATTCACTAATCATTTAATAAGTAAGTAGTATGAACTAAGGGAACGTCAATTATTTAAAAAAATATGATAATTATCAGATATTATAGAATTTCATACAGAAAATTATCATATGAAAAATATTTAGAATTTCAGTTTTAGAAAATGCCTATTCTATTTTTTTCAGGTTGTAGTGAAAAAGGGCGACAGTCTTATAGATTACGATTGGTTTCCTGGTGCAGCTTTCAACTTTGCTGAAAATCTATTGAGGATAAGAGACGACAGAATTGCTCTGAGTTACATTGGTAATTTATACGATTATTTCTACAAACTCCATTTTTGAATCCCTATTCACAACACGATCTTCAGTATGTGCAATGAAGACCAGAAGCATTTTTCCTTATATACAGGGGTTGGACAAAAATATGGAAACACCTTTAAAACATGTTTCTTTGCTTAATATGGTGTAGGAAACCCGTTGGCATCCAAAACAGCTTGCAGTCTTCTCGGAATGGATAAATACAGTTCCTGTATGTTTGCCAAGGGAATATTATACCATTCTTCCTGCAAAACGGTGGCAAATTCAGATAACGATGTTGGCGGTGGATAACGAGAACGCACTTTCCGTTCCAATGTAGACCACAAAGGTTCGATAATATTCAGGTCTGGTGACTGTGGTGGCCAGGGGAGATGGGACAACTCATCCTCGTGCTCAGAAAACCAGTCCTGGACAATGTGAGCTGTGTGAACAGGGGCTTTGTCGTCTTGGAAGACACCATCACCATCGGGGAACAAAGTTTGTACCATGGGATGAACTTGATCGGCCAAAATGTTCACATAAGTCTTGGCAGTCATGTGCCCTGACACAGTTATCATGGGGCTAGCAGAGAACCACGATATGGCTGCCCAAACCATAACAGAACCCCCGCCATGTTTCACTCTTGGCAACAAGCAGTCTGTATTATAGGCTTGAGATGGCGTTCTCCAGACGTAAACTCGGCCAGAAGTGGGAAACAATGTGAAAGAAGACTCGTCAGACCATATTACTCGCTTCCACTGCTCTATAGTCCAGGCTTTATGACTTAAACACCACCTTTTCCTGTTACGGGCATTAGCATCACTGATGAGTGGCTTCTCAATTGCAGCACGGCCAGCAATTCCCTGTTTATGAAGCTCCCTTCTAATTGTTTTGGTACTCACAGGGTTCGGTAACACAACATTCATTTCAGCAGTAACTTTTGCAGCTGTGGTCTTCTTATTTTTCGTCACAATTGCCCTTAATGATCGTCTGTCACGATCACTCAGGACACACTTCCGTCCGCGCTGTGATTTAGCAGATGATGTTTTTCCGCTTTTCAAATATGCGGAATAAATCTTCGATACAGTACCTCTTGAAACACTAAACACCTCGGCTACCTTGCTTACGGAAGCACCTACCATACGTGCTCCAACAATTTGCCCACGTTCGAAGTCTGTTAACTCTGACATAATGCAATGACAACCTCACATAACAGTACTCCGACAACAACTGAACTGTTTAGCACATTTACGAAGTTGTATAGGTGGCGTCAGTAGTCAAAAACGCCAGCGCCACCTACATATTTCATTAAAATCAATCTTTCTTTTCAAACATGCATTTCACAAGGTTTTTCCATATTTTTGTCCATCCACTGTACGTTATTCTACATGTTGTTATATGAAATTATATGTTGTTCTTAGAATGTGTTAATAAGTTTCCAATATGCTATTTTAAACGTTCAGATATCATGAATATACGTTTATTCTTCTATTTAAGGCACTCTAGATTTAACACCCTATTCATTATTTTGTACATATAAAGCCCTCATTAAGGAATCTTATGATGACATTTCGCTTAACCTGCAAATTGTATTCCATTTCTATTGTTCTATTATGGATAAGAAAATAAATTACGAAACTTGTTATTTTGCCTAGCATATATCTATTCAGACATTTGTAGAACCTTTAGCTTTTTTTGGAGCAGGAAAAGGAAAAATTAGCAATACCTTCGCTTGGAACCGAATTCCAGATCTTCGGATGCTAACAGGACGTGCTTTCAATTACACCTCGAAGTTAGATGGTAAATAAAGACAATATTCGTCACATTTTTTTCTACTTAATGGGCGACTAGGGAAAAGGAGATGTACTCGTCAAACGAAGTAAAGACGAATTATCATCCACCAAGTTTTAGTTCAGGAACCGTTTGTGACTGAAAATTTTTACAAGTTATGTTTCACATAATTACAGCTAAAGAGAGGGAAAAGGTAAGATGGCAGGCAAGATTGAAAGAAGCGAGAGAAGGAATACAATGTGTTCAAGATGAAAGTTTGGTAAAGACTGATTTTACTTCATTTCGATTCAGTTTATAAACATTTCAGTTTATAAACTTTAAAATTATTTTTGGCTGAAGCATTAATTAAATGTCTGCATTATTAGTGTTATTTTACACTCATGCGAGAAGGATAAAATTGAAAATGATACAGTTTGCAGCGATTTATTATAAGCAGACAATAGTTTTAGAATAAAAAGGGGAAATTACAGGATTTAAATTAAGATTTAAGAGGCTACTTCGAATTATCTTTAAAATTTTGATTTCCATATTTTTATCTTCATACACCCACATCTGCCTAACCACCCAACTATATTCTCTACCCCCATATATATAAATATATATTTAAACTTAATTTAATTTTTTTATTCACAAAAGTCATTTTATTTCCTAAATTGTTTTTCTAGATGAGACCGGATATGAAGAAACTCTCACCTATGCTCAGATGTTCGAAGAGGTCAAGTTGTATGTTGCAGCTTTCAGGAAACATGGCTTGAAAGTAGGAGATCGAGTAGCTTGTGAGTAATAATTAAAAAGTTCTGTATAGTGAGAAAAATGACATTTTTAAGCCTATTATCATATTATGGATAATAATCAAGGTAACCTGAAGCTACGCATTCTGATCAAGCAACTTATTTAGTTATTTTAACAACTGCTGTTAGAATGTTGTTATATTTTGCGCCTTTTAGCGAAATTATACTTTTATAAGATATGTTTGAATAAGATATATCGATATGATATATCGTTTGTCAGAAACGCACTAAAAAATTTCCTGTGAATATAATAGCACCTCAAACCTGAGTTTCACTAAAAACTGAACATTTTTTAGTCCAAAGGGATTTGAATCCCGAAGGACTATTAGTTTCGTTTTGGCATTTTGCGTCGGACTCATAAATGTCGGTTCACTTTTCAAACCGTTGCCACAAAATGTTAGAGTCCTGCATTATATTTGAAGAAATTAAATAATGAAAAATCTGCATAAATGTATGTATATTTCTCGTATTGTGATAAAATAACGGTACATAGAGTCATCGAATTTTGAATAACGTAATCCTCCAACGAATATGAGCATGTGGAAGACCAAATTTGAAATTTGAAATTTGTTTTATGATCGATTTCCTATTTTTTAAAACTTTGACGAATTTTTGATTAACAAACTCAAGGATTTCAAAGCGAGCAATGGCAACGTTGTGCAGAAAAAACATTTTTATCTCCAGCGCGTGAGTCTCTGTATCGGAAATTCTAAAGATATGCTCGTTTTAAAACTATTTTGCGATATTGCTGTTGCACTGGATCTTATGGTTTAAGTGCGAGGAACATGATATTTAATAAAGAAAGGTAACACACAAAATGTTAAAAAAACGCCCCTTTGGACGTAATTTAAAATCTGAAACATTTCAGATTTTTTTTTTTTTTTTTTTTTTTTTTTTTTTTTTTTTTAAAAATAAACTTAACACATATAGGCTTAAATTCGGCTCATATACAGATTTAACATTTTTGCTGAATTTTTGCCGCGAATTCTTACTTTTAGGCTTATATACAGATCGCCTCATGCTTGGAAATTGTGTCTGCGCAGCAGAAGATATTGAAATAAAAAGTTCTACATTTGTTGTTCTTGTTTGTTTAATATCCGAAGCCTACTTGCGCGCGAGTTCAAAGAGTGTCTTTAGAAGGAATTCGAGATTCTGCTCCTAAGACCGATCTGGAACAGTATACCTATATCTGAGCCTATTCAGTGAACTGAATTAGATGAAATCTGTAAACTTCATAGAACTTCCCTGTTACTTTTATTTAATATAGCTTTTATTTTGGCAAGGAAAGAAAACAGATGGTGAACAGCTGCAAGAACATAACTGAAGTTCAAATATTTAAACCTATCTAAACTAAGCGTAGATTTTCAGATTTGTTAATTTGTTAATATTATATTATTAATTTGTGAATATTATTTATTAATTATTATTTTTAAATTATTACTAAACAAAAAAAACTAAAGTAAATATGAAAATTACATATAAAACCAATATACCAATATTAGTTTTACATCTAATTTTTGAATTTAACTATTAAATGAACTAATATGTCTAAGTGTTCACCTCTTTCGGAGCATGCTGAAACCAGAGAACACTGGTGTGCAAAAATTGAGGACGAAGTCGAAAAATTGGCATATCAGCTGAACGAAGAGGCAGAGCGGACAGAAAGACCAATCAGGAGATTAAGTAAGGTGATGTACGGTAGCACATGCGCAGATATGCAGGTAGACGTAATGGGGGAGTGTCTGAGTAGTATAAAGCATGTTGTCGGTGTAAGATCAGTATTTCTGGCAAAGAGATTGCACGCCGTATAGCAGTTAAAATCACACCGAGTTGCTGCCTCAGCGAGAAATGGCGAATAATCAATCTGTTAGACGACATCTGGATGCTTTTACCCGAGGTCGAATCATTGGGAAGTTGGAGGAAGGCCGCAGTGTGACAAGTGTGGCTGCAGAGTTCGGAATTGCTCACAGCATCGTTTCACGACTTTGGAGACAATTTCAAACTACAGGAACAGCTATCCGGGGGTTTAGTAGTGGTCGTCCACGAGGAACCACACCCGCAGATGACCGGTATATTGCCTTACAGGCCAGAAGAAACAGGCGGCAGACAGCGGGAGAAATCGCTAGACACACGACACAGGCGACTGGACGACCGATATCGCGTTTTACCGTGGCCAGAAAACTGCACGGTGGTGGTCTGTTTGCACGACGCCCTGTACGGTGTGTACCTCTAACGCCTGCCCATCGGAGAAGGCGTTCTCTGTGGTGCCGGGAACACCGGAATTGGAGAGACAATGAATGGGGACGAGTACTCTTTACAGATGAGAGCAGATTCAGTCTGAGTAGCGATTCTCATCGCATACTCATCTGGAGAGAGCGGGGAAGCCGCAATCATCCCTCGAACATCATTGAAAGGGACAGGTATGGAGGTGGCGGTGTTCTCGTTTGGGGAGGCATCATGCTTGGTAGTCGTACAGACCTTCACATCTTCGACGCAGGTTCAGTCAACGGGACCCGTTATTGTAACGAGATTCTTCTTCCATATGTGCGTCTTTTTAGAGGCGCTATGGGTCCGCAGTTCCTTTTCATGGACGACAATGCACCATGTCATCGCACAGTAGCTGCCGAACAGCTCTTAGAGAGTGAGGATATTGAACGTATGGATTGGCCGGCACGATCTACGGATCTCAATCCCATCGAGCATGTATGGGATTTTCTAGGCAGACGCTTGGCAGCTCGTACCTTACCACCAGTAACGATTCCGGAGCTTCGATTGGCGCTGCAAGACGAATGGGCAGCAATGCCTCAACAACTCATTGACACCCTCATTCTCAGCATGGGCAGACGCTGTGAAACCTGCCTAGCAGTCAGGGGAGATCATATCCCCTATTTAAAGACCGGATGTTTCTTGCTGGACACCCATCACAGGGATGTTTCGGCCTTCAGTCGCATTGCGCTCCATGCTACTTTTTCAATAAAGCTTCTTTTTATCCCTCTGATTTCTCTTTTAGTAAGTGTTGCTTACATTACTCATGTCCTTACGTATTGGGGATCTTACGGTATTAAATGTGTTGATTTGGAAAGCTTTTGTACAAAGTTATATTGAAAAAACCGTCTCGTCCTTAATTTTTGCACACCAGTGTATTGTGGCAGCCATGATCTAATTTCGATAACATATCCTAATTTCTGTTCGAAGAAATCTGTACCAATTTGACCAGGCTATTTCTTTAAAATCGGTTTTATCCTCCATTTTAACTTTGCGATCATAACATGCGGAATCATCCCCGCGTAGCACTTATTTGCCCCGGTGTCATTTGAGGATGTAGTTCGAGAAGGTCTGTACTCATGCATGTCTGTAAAGCCTTGTTTTCTATTTGGACTTGCATTTGGAAATCATATGCTAACCTCTATTTCTTAATTTTCGTCTAGATATGACGGAGCCATAATTGGCTACCGACTGTGAGTCAGACAACTCGGGTTTCAAATTTAACTGTTAGGAATTTTAGAAACTTTGCTTTATAAGGCCTGAGCAAAGTTTTGTAGTAGTTTTTCATGTTAAATTAGACAAACGTCTTAAGACTGGCATTCGAGAGCAATAAACATAAATATAAATTTTTGATCTGATGCAAAATTGAAACGCAGAAACCTGAAATAAAGTGAGAAAAAATTCAGAGGACTTCTCTACGTTTCTCTGCAAACTCTACCATGATCAAGATAACAAACAAAGAGAAAGAATTGATCTTGAGGTGCTTATCCTAAAATAGCTGACAAAAGGAATTCCAAACAATTCCAAACAGACTTCTAAATTAGATGATTATTTCCTGAGATTTTACAAAACATAGTTAAATGAATTTTAGTCAACATGTCTCCAAAAATTAAGTTTTTTTACCTACTAATAAATACTTTAGAAATATTCAAAAATTAACCTGAAAGAATTTGAGACTTGTTTTAATGTATAACTTTATGAAATTCTAACCATCTTAAAACTAATACGAACAACATTCCGGAAAATCTAAAAAAACTGAGATGCGTGATCCCTCGAAACGCCAAAACAAAAAAGTTTTGATTTTTCTGACTTTCTTGACTAGAAAAATCAAAACAAAAAAGTTTTGATTTTTCTAGTCAAGAATTGAAAACTTTAGACTACATTTAAAAAATGAATTTATTAATGAATTAATTAATGAAATTAATGAATTTCTCTTTTAGATTAGATAAACTCAACTCAAAACTACGCATTTTTTCGTGTTTAAATACTAACACGTCTATGTTATTTCTTAAGTATATATATTTGAATGAGAGAAATGTACACTTAATTAGAACCTCTTTACAGGTTACATGTCAAACAGAAAAGAAGCTATCCTTACCTTTTTAGCTGCAACAAGCATAGGCGCAATTTTTGGTGCAGCTCAACCATTTTTAGCAGGAAAAGTAAGTAACATGACTTCAAACTTTCTATAATATGCTTTGATAGAGCAAAACCAGAGCTATACAGAATTTGTTATCTTACTATGTCGTACATTATATTTCGAACGAGATCCTATTATCATTTAATTTTTTGTTTGTAATTTTCCTAAAATTTTCAAAATCTATATCAGCCCAATATTTAGTGTGACCAGTTAAATGTGGATACTATAAATTAAGAGAATTAGATTAACAGACATGTAGATTCTTCATTATTTAATAGTAAATATTAATTAATTACTAGATATTTGTACTGCTGTTCTGTATTTGGATAATTTCTGCTTCCAGTTTAATACAAATGCTTACCTATGAAAATTTAAAAGCGCGGACTCTCGTTCCGGTAGTGGAGTTGTCATTAAATGCACAAATGGAAATATTGTTAAAATAAAGAAAAGAAATTCTGATTTCACTTCGGTGTTTAAGAGCTTATAGCCATATAAGAGGGACTAAACGCTGTTTCGTCCGTTACAGATCTTAAGGCAGAATGGATTTTGTCTGAGAGTCGTAGTGCCATCCAATATCTTTCAAACTGGCGAAGAGTTAGTTGGTGAAAGGCCGGAACTGCAATTCTTAGCAAGCTTAAATAGGTCTCGTCACTCTGAAGTGCACTTTCAGTGGATTCCTTCCCATGTTGACATATGGGGGAATGAAATGGCAGACATTCTGGCGAAGAAGGGTTCTGATGAACCCTCCTTCGCTAATTCATTGACCAGTTACAAATTCATTGGCATATCTTGAACTGTATTCCATTAGAAGACATTCAGACAGGCAAATTTGGCTCGTTTCCCCGAATCATCCCCCTGGTATCAAGCTGATTGTCTCTTGCTATTGATTGCGATAGATGTGTTCAGACAACACTTTCCCGATTCTTCAGTGGACATCTGAAAGGACTTTTGAGAGATGTCTCAAGATGCACCCAATTTGTTCTAAATGTCAAAATGCACCGGCATCACCGGCACATATCCTTGGGTGCCTGGAGTTGTCTCTTGAGGACCTTTACAAGTCTCCTTAGCTTGGTTTCGATTTTCTGAAGGTGAATGGACTCGTGGACCTCGTCTAGTATATTCCTAGACATGGAGATTAGTAAGAACAACAACTATGAAAATATCTTCAAATAATAAAAGATGTGTCTGAACACATCTCTCGCAATCAATAGCAAGACATCTTCCAGGACAATCAGCTTGCAAATTTCTTGAAATTTTCAATATATACCTCAAACAGCGAATTTTTTCACTGAAAATTGTTGCACAACCCCCCAAGCTATAATATTATTTCTATATCTGTTGATCTTAATGATCTGTATGGATAACACAACTTCGCCTATTTCTATTCCAATTACGGGCAAGTATCATCAAAGAAAACATTGCGAGGTATCTTGCCTTTTTCTCTTTGCCACCAACACTTCAAGATTTTTAGACAGGCCGATATTAAAGCCTCTCACTTTTCATTGTGGAGTCCTCATCTCGTTAAAAGAAAGTACACATATAGATTTGAATGTTATTAATTTATTTTGAAAATTATTATTCATTTGCTTCATATTTCAGGCTTCTGCAAACATTATTGGGGTCATGGACGCCAAATTTTTAATCATTGTAGATTATCACAAAGGATGGGGCGAAGATATCAGTCTTTTGGACAATTTGCCCATTATATTAGAAAGTAAGTAACAGGAGCTTTTAAGAGCTTTTATATCAACTTCAATATGAATTCTTGTTTCAATGTAAATATTGAAAGTTAAAAAAAATAGAAATAGAGCTGCTTTTAATAAGGTGCCAGTCGCAATTCCGCGGCAAAGAACAAAATGTGGTAACTCTTTATTGCACCTCACGAATAGTTCTACCAGGCATTCAAAACTTTTTCTCTCGCATCGTCCGCTTTTAAATACTTTTTTTTAATCGACCCTCTTACATTTTTCCATATAACAGAAATTATACTGGACAATAAGAACACGAATTGCAAACAAAAATTTAAAAATAACAACAAGATTAAGAATATAAGTTTTAAAAAAATGTTTAACTAGATTTATGTTTAATTATTTTTGTATTATTATTATTTTTAATTTTTACAAATATAAAAAAGTTTTCAGAAAAAATTCGCGTTATTCTAATGGTACAAAAGTTTAATTTTAATGAATGTGATGTCTGCGCTTTCGAATTGATACAGTTTTTATTTAATATTTGACTTTTTTTTTTTTTTATAATTTGCTTCATTTAAATGACTCCGTTCAAAAACATTCGACCTGTTTCTTTTTTCCATTCACTTTTGCTCTCTTTGTATATTTTCTGTTTGTGTTAACGTTTTACTTCTTTGTAATGCATTAATGTAAATATATATATATATATATATATATATATATATATTTAAAATAAAACATCACTTTTTAAAATACATTATATAATTTTAACGTTACCCCTTACATTTGTTTTATATAATTTCTCCTATGAAGCAGCTTTACATTAATAAACAATTATTATTCCAATGAATTGCCGTTGCGTATTCGGTTACTCACCCGAAAGAATGCTGGATTATCCATACTAAATACATTTTTCGAAAAAACCCACCAAAAAGAGGAAGAGATTTTATTTTACTTTAATTGAGTGCCAAAATGGTGATGCGAAGAAAGGTCGCGTCTTGAAATTTGAGGCTCACTGAGGCGGATCATACATTTCTGTTTTGATAGCGATTTGATTCACTTATTTTCCGGTATAAAAATTGCTCATAAGTGCTACATTTGTTGTTCTTGTCGTTGCTTATGTTCATTTGTCTGAAGTAGTCAGTCGAAGTCAATGAAAATTTTCGTGGCGAAGAGCACTAGATTACACCTGCCGTTCGCAACAGCCTTGAACACAATTCAGGTGACCGTGCGATTTGGCTCAAGTCCTGCTCAATTTTGATAGCGAGCGCACACCAGGGGGACGGGTCCGAGGGTCTCTCAAACCTCACGAGAAAACTTTCGGCTCGCCGAATATTTAGAGTACCGCCATGCCGCACCGATACTATACATTTACAAAAGGCCATGCCTTCTCCGGGATTCGAACTCGGGCGCTTCGGCACAGCAGTCAGCGACGCTAACTACTATATCGGTTGGACGGCATTACTACTGCAGGCGACAAGCAACGAAGGACGTGGACACTGTCCCTTTACCATTATGGTTAATCAGTACAGCGCCACGTCCACCTATATCTAGAGCGGACTGATGGAATGGCTTCAAAAGAGCCTCTCGCAGGGTGCCCAAACTCGGCGTCCGGACCATCCGGTGGGCAGTCCAACGGACCAAAGGTGCCAAAAATGTCCTCGGGTATGCACTCCCGCCCAACTGCCCGGGCCCAGCGTTTATTTAAAATCAAAACAGCTGATACATTGCCAAACAGAGGCTAATAGAAACGATGAGAGTTTACATATATAACTGACATTTACATAAATGAGTACATAATCAAAAAAGAACTATTATAAACAATAGGACATTGGTGGTGCATTTTGACATTACATATGTTACAATTGGCCATCATAATATGGCGTGCATATACATTGCTACTGCTGCGATCCCGAGGCTCTGGTAGTGCGACTTTTTTTTTTCTCTGGTAGTGCTTGCTCGTGTCGTTATCTATTACCAGTGATGGGAAGTGCGGCGTACGAGTACTCTGTGTTCTTGGCGATGTTAAACGACTTTGGAACTCGATCGTGGAACGGTTATATGACAGCTGAATACCATAACACTATTGCAATAGAGCTCCTGTGCCACAGTTTACGACATTTTAGCTGCCTCATGGTGTGAGCATTAGATTTCCTCGGGAACCGATACGCTGGAATTTAGGGGTGGTCAAACTCCATGTCAGTAAGGGCCGCATGTTGGATGTCAGGAAACTTCCAGAGCCACAACTAGATCTTCCAACAGCCACAAGTCCGTACATGCATCATTTGAAAAGCAACGAGATAGCTTTTAAATGGAATTAAATGTCTGATTTTAAGCAATCATTCAATCTCAGTTTGCCTTTAACAAGTGATAACGTATCGGAGACAACGCGAAGTTTAGTAGTCTCTTTATTTTCTCTAATTACAGCTAGATGCGGTAAAAAGTACGTTTTTTATTTTTTAAGTACTCCGATTTTTCCGTGATACATTCTTGTAAATTTTGATTTATAATTGCCCTAACCGGAGAGGCAGAATTTTAGATTTAGAGAAGCATTAAGTATTAAAATTTAGAGATCGATTTTTTTTAGAATTTAGAAGAGGTATTAGGTACTTGAATTAAAAGAAAATGCCTAGCATCATACCTGAAAAGCTTTCTTCATACTCACTAGCGTAAGAGCAGCCCTGTTCGCCTGCGGGTGCCACACGTAGCCATCGAGCCGCGCTATGGCTATATCTGCTATATTTTAGCAATATTAGCTATATTTCAACGAATGGAACACTATTGAATGAACATAATTTTAAATTTTAAAATTGGAGATTTACTTATGCTTATAATAAGAATATTTTTAAAGTTTAAAATATTCTCTGAAATTTAGTTCACTTTCTTGGCGATTGTAATTTATAAATTATAACAAATAATTACTAATTCAATTTCAGAATCCCCGACACTAGAGAAGGTTATTATAATAGCCACCAAAGATGAAACTTTAACAAGCGGAATCCCACGCATCCGAAATGGGTAATTTTTTAAAAATCCTCTTTTGCCATTCAATTCTTTTTAACATTTCCTCTGTAGTTAATTAATTAATAGCTATATATTATATAATATTAAGTATATAATCATAATCTTTAATATTAGGGGTTAGTGTGAAAATTTGTTGCGTTCTTATACGCTACTTTTTTTTTTTTTTTTTTTTTTTGCTACATTATCAGGATGGGCACAATTGGTTGTAACATGAAACAATGCATCCCAACACAGTCACTCTTAACTCTCCATCGAGATGACGTCAAGATTAAAGTTATACAGACGAAAATAATTTTAAGTCATTACAATGGCATTTTTGAGTCTTAAAAATTTTTGAGGCATTGTCTTAGTCTTTTGGCGGCTTTGAGAAAAAGGTTAGGCGGACGTACAATATCTTGGTTGTTTTTTACATTTCTTATGACTTGTTGCACAGTGTTTCGAGCACTGTGGTTTCGAGCACTTCGTACAGTGTTTCGAGCGATAAATAATTTGAATATGATTTAATATACGTGCACATAATTTATATATGATTTGAACTTTGATCTTTAACAAGTAATTTATGTTACAAATGTTAACATAGATACACATTATTTGGTCCATACATTCAATATATTGTTCATATATGTTAAAAATGCAACAGAATGCTTTAGACTAGATATAGATTTAAAATGTACAACCCTTAGGTTTTCCATTAAAGAACATAGTTGATAGATATTCTAATAGTCCAATAGTCAATAGAATTCATATTTAACATAGTGTCCAATGCGACCATTACAAGTTCCACGCTCAATGTTTTTTTTTTTTTTTTAATAATAACCGAGCACGTTATTTAATAGCCATTAAGCTTGCGCCACTATAGCGGCCTAATGTGGTGGCCATTTCATTGTGGAAGCACCTAATAGGCAGCCGCCGTTGAGTCCTAAGGAAGGATTGACAGTTGCAACCATGCCTTTTCCGGGATTTGAAACAGCGTCCATCGCTACCGTAGTTAAAGTCACTACCTGCTGGGAAATGGCGTTCACAGTAAGTGTAGTGGCCTTTATTTTCAATAATCATCTGTCAACGTTGAGAGAGATGTTCGATTCATGGCCTACATAACTGAAGTGTTTATTAGTTGAAAGAGTCAGTTAGCCAAATTTGGAGTACACTTTCATCAAGAAAGAAATCTTCCTGAGTTATAAACTGGAAAACACACAAATGGTAACCCCTAGATGCTGTGCAAAGGAGGCTTAACCCCCGGTCAACCCAGGCGGGAAACTTTTGTTTAACAAATTCTAGGTTTTTCAATCGCAAGTCAGTGGAGGATGGCACAAAATACATCCACCAAAAATGAACCAGGTTTGACATCGATCGCTCCCCAATGTTAACCAAAGAGAGCCAACCCGCCGAGAACAGCCTTCGATATCAAACCAATTAGCGTCCCCACAACCAAGAACGTGATATTAAATAAGTAATATAAACACAAAAAAATTAATTATAAAAATTCAAAAATGGTTTGTAAAGCCATCTTGGTAAGAAAACTGAAAACTGATAGGACGAACTGAGAAAGACTGAAAAAAACAGAAACATATATGTCAACACTTAACGCAGCATCGGGAATTCTGAAGTTACACTGCTATGTTGCTTTTAAATTTTTGTAATTTTGTTATTGAATTATATATGGTACGATAGCAGAAGAAAATAATGCTTAATAATAAAGCTAAAAAGGCAGAAAAAAGGCTTAGTAAGAGTGAGTGTAGCAGACTCGTAGTCTCCGAAATCTACGAGAGAGTAAAAAAAAAACATTAGAAACACATTTGGGTGACGGTTAAAGTATGAAAACTTTCATTTTGCATTCCAGAATTTGTTTTTACATTTTCATTTAATATATTTAAAAAATTTAGAGAATAAGGACAGTTTAAAAATAATCACACAGGAATTATCCCTTAGAATTGACGAAAGAGCTTAATATAGTATTTTGCAGCAGAGTATTGGATACTCTTAATTTCTATGCTGTTGCACAAACTGTTCTATATTCAATATTCGTTTACCGCATTGATTCTTAGCGTGCATTTTGCGTGCGGCTCATTTCCTTTACTTCCCTTCATAAAACGTGAAAAACTACAAAAGTACAAAATGAATTGTTAATTACACTCTTCCAAGCAAATAATTATGCACTAAATTCACCAAAAGAAATTAATTTCAGGTAAATACTTCGTAATGCAATAAAAACTTTAGAAAGAACATGACCTCACCTACTGAGAGGGGACGAAAAAACTTTTAAAAGACGTCGCAATACGTTGACATCATATTGGTCTTCTCAATACAATGGACGGCGAAAGAGAATCGCATAATAAATGAAAAGAATTAACAGGTCTGTATTTTTTTCTTTTCAGTTATTCGTTAAAAGAGTTCCTTCGAAGTGGTCGACGTGCAGATGGAAGTGTTCCAGACTTAATATTCGAGCAACTTCCAGCTAGTCATCCCATTTGCATCAACTTTACTTCAGGTACAACAGGCATATCAAAGGGCCCAATGCATTCAGCTGTAGTAAGTCGTTACACTTTGTTCCTAGATATATTTTCAGGAAGATCATTCCGTTCGTGTTGAACAAGATATTTATTATATTCAGATATAATTAACGCTTGTCAGTTATGGTTTCTGTCAAATCCGCTATCTGTCAAAATGCTTTTGAAATTTAAAATAGGTAAGAAAAGAGCTTTTAGAAAATTTAGATTTTGAAGTGATTAAGATTTAAAGTGGATTTTGAGTTGTATTCAAAATCTATTTGTAAGGTTTATGTGAATCAAACAATTATTATGATTTGAACCTTTAATATAACTTCTTTCCGTAGTCGTCGGTAGGATGTAAAATAGTTAGGAGATTATTTGAGCCAAGTAATTGAATGTTTTAGAGTTAGAGCATTTGGCAATCTTGTTTGTAGTTTACGTTCTGCCACCAGCTCTGCTAGAATTTATTCGGGCTTTAGCCATTTTGGTATCTGCCGATAAAAACACGCCGTTAATTACTTGATGTAGGATAAATAGATAACTTTGAATAGTGTCTGGCTAAGTTACTTAAAGATAAACTTAAGGCCACTCATAAGCGCAGTTGGCTACAAAGCTCAATGTAACTCCTATTGCCATTTCCAATTTGTGGGAACACTTTCAGAACGAGAAGACCTGGAGAGATTCATATTAAGAAGACCTGGAGAAAGTCGACCAAGATCCACAACGAAGAATGAAGATTGTTATTTGGTACTTTTTCAGCGCGGCAACATCACAACTCTCACGTGAACTGTATGCTTCCTCTGGAAGTGTTTCACAGTCGGCAGTAGCACAAAGGCTTCATCAGTTAGGACTGTATACCAAAAAAAAAAAGAACAACTGTTTGCGTCCCACTCACTGCAGCACACAAGAGAAGGGTGTTTGTCATGGTGCAGACAATCTGTGACTTGGATGAGACTTCAGAGGAGCATCATGCTTTTTACAGAAGAATCGAGATTCAAACTGGAACTGAAAAATTCGTACTTACATCTGGAAAGAGCCTGGAGCACGATACTATCCCTCCTTCATCAGGGAAAAGAATCATTACGGTGGTGAAAGTGAAGTGGTTTGAGTAGGCATTATGTTGGACGGCAGTATTACCCTGCATGTGTTTGAAAAAGGCTGCCTGATTGCTATGAGGTACAAAAAGGAGATCTTGGAGCCCTAACATTGACTTTTCCGGCGTGCAACTGCCCTGGTTTCCTTTTAGTTTAGTTTAGTGACAGAAGACGTGGGCACCATCCCTTTTCCGTTATGGGTAATTGGTAATAGCACGACGTCCACCCTTAGCAAGAGACCAGTGGGACCACACAAGGGCCTCGCATAGGACGCGCAAGCCCAACGCCCGGACCATCCAACTGGCAGTCATACCGAACAAATGCCCTCGAAATTGCACACTCAGTCAGCCGCCCAGGCCCAGTATTTATTGATATCAACAAAAACTGAACATAGCCAAACCAGGGCGTAAATACATATGAAATTGACGACAATGCTCGTCCATTCAGGGATTAGCTGGTTGACGGTTACATGCTACTTTTGAGCTGCATTAGAGCACCATTAATTGGCCAGCCAAATTTCCTGACCTTAACCATATAGAGCATATCTAGGATGCTCTTGGAGCTCATAATCTAACCATTTCTCTTCCAGAGCTAGTCCAAAGTTGAAAAGTGCCTTGCTGCTGGAGTTTGATTGACTGCCACAGGAATTCCTCAATTGCCTGCTCTCCTATATGCCGGCAAGCTCTGCGACCTATCTTGATGTGAGAAAGAATCATATTCCATATTAAACACATTTTCATTTCGATATCACAATGTGGATTTTGGACATCGTGGGACTAGAGCTTACTGATAATCATGTGCACATGAAATGACTTTCGAATGGCTCTCTTTCTCTTTTATAATTGTATATCAAAATTTAAATAAACCCTGTCTATTAGTTTTTCGGAAATTCGACATGAAGTGCAAATTCTCTTAACTTTGTTTGCGAGTGTATTCATAGCAAAAAAAAAAAAAAAAAATTATAAATTGTAATTGCAATAGACTTTTGTGGTGTTGTACAAATTGTAAAGAACTCCATAAAATAGTATTATTTTCTATTATCGTGCGTTTTAAAGTAAAGATGTGTACATTGTTTTTAACAAATTTTTCACTATACATGAATTACAATTGTTTAATAATTAAAAAAAATCTGGGATGTTTCAGATTTTAAATTACGTTCAAAGGGGCGTTATTTTAACCTTTTGTGTGTAATCTTTATTTATTAAATATCATGTTCTACGTACTCAAAATATTAAATTCAGTTCAATAGCAATATTGCAAATTAATTTTAAAATGAGCATATCTTTAGAATTTCCGATAAAGTCTCGCTCGGAGATAATTTTTTTTTTTTTTTTGTATAGTGTTGCCATCGCTCGCTTTGAAATCATTTAGTTTTTTAATCAAAAATTCGTTGAAGCATTACAAAATCTGAAATCGATAATAAAACAAATTTCGATTTCAAATTAGAGCTTCCACATGCCCATATTCTATGGAAGATTACGTTATTTAAATTTTGATTGCTCTAAGTACCGCTGTTTTACCACAATGCGAGAAACATAGCTACATTTACGCAGATTCTTCATTATTGAATTTCTTTAAATATAAGGCAGGGCAATAATATACGGTGGCAACGGTTGTAAAAGCGATACACCCTTTTAACGTTTTCGACGCAAGATGCCAAAACGAAATTAATTGTCCTTTGGGGCAAATTGCCCCTTTGAACTAATAAAATATAAACAAACAAAATCTCTGTATGCTGTTGGATAAGGCTCTGTAATTAAATCTGTATGCTTAAAAGATTATCAACGATTCTTCTGACTTTCTTACTGTTCATAAATTTAATTATAATTTAAAATTTCCCAATGCATAAGACATCTGTATCTACGATATTCCAGGTGTGTCAAATCACGCTTGTAAAACGTATAAAATCACAAATTTTGTTTAAACTAATGGAACATTTCTTTTTCGTTTTTCAGACACTTCTTTCAAGTTTAGTTTCTATCGTATTCCACCACAACTTGACAAGTGAAGACATCTTTATGAATCCTTGTCCGGTAAATTCATTTCTCTAATTTTTTAAATAAAACTTAGGAGAGTCTGAAATCTGTTTGCAAAAATAACTTTGTAGAAGATTTATAAAAGAAGGGGAAAAGGCGCTGTATGTGGATCGGATAATATAAAAGGAAATGTGGTTTTCTATTAATTTATTTCTACTTGAAAATTAAAGATTTTTATCTGCTTCAACGGATAACTATGAGATTTCAATGCATTACAAATGCGATTACATAAGATCTACTAATTAGAAAGAAGGTTTCAGATATATTATAATAAGTATGATGAAAGAGGTTTAAAACTCAGATGAAACCAGTAAAATAACTGTTTTCAAAACGTAGAACGAGACACAAGAGTTTTCTAAATATGGGTCAAGAGAATTTTTTGTGAATAAAAAAAAAAAAAAAAAAAAAGCATTCTGAAATTTTTAATTCGTTACATAATTATATTTATTTATTTATAATTATTGATTTGCTGACTTATGAGTACTGATTAATAGTTAATGATTCGTTTGAGATTCTAATATTAAACAATGATTTGTTTACACGCGATGATTACTTCGTTGCTTCATTGTTATCTTAAGGCTATCTTTTCCAACATGTTATTTAATAAAAGTAGTTTTTGCATATAAGTCTCAATTAATTAATTAAACACTTAAATACTATAAAATGTGGGAAGTTACGACAGAATAGTTATGATCTTTTACTATTAGATGAGGCTGTTCTAGAAAAAGCAACATTAGTTTAATCATCGACAATGGTGCAAGCGAAACGTTATATACGCATTCTTCTATCATCAAATTCAGCCGTAAGCTGTTCTGTAAGTTCAAAGTTTTTTATATATAACATTACTACTCAAAATTAAAGTAAAAGACAGATCTGCGAATAAAAAATACGGTGATGATCTGTTCGATATACCGCTTTTAATTACTTAATTATTTCATAGATGGTACGGCGACACTAATACATTATTAGTTGTATACTGCTGTTATTTATGCTTACTTTTTTTACCTTAGCATCAGCCCAAGCCTACGAAATACCTCTTAGCAAGAAGCGCCAGTTTACGCTTGTCGCGACTTGAGCACCTTACAGGTGATGGTGCAATTTGCTCTTTTCCGCCCCTAATTTTGCTGGAGAGCACCCAGGGGGGGACTGGTCCGAGGGTCACCCCCCCTTTCATCAAACCACACGAGAGGACTTTCAGCTCGCCGCATATTTAGAGTGCCGCCCTGCCGCACCCACACTATTCATTTACACACACACGGGATTCGAACCCGGGTCTTTCGGCACGGCAGTCAGCGACGCTAACCACTATATCGGTTGGTGCCTATCAGTTTTATTTATGAATATACTAAATAGGAATAATTACGAATGCATAAATGTAAATGATCCCAGTCATTAATTCCCCGTTGCTGCCTGTTTATTAGTAATAAAATTTCAACTTTACTAAATTGTAAAAGTTGTATTTTTGAAATAATAAATGGCAGCTTGGAGTCGGTCCCTCTTGGGATAGCCGGTAGTAGGTAGCCCCATATCATGGACAATCAAGCGATATGAATAAATGGTGGTACGGTTGTGTATGTTATTGTTCCCTGCCCTGCCTGTTTATTAGTATACATTCGTTTAGCATTTTAAAATTTAGGTTCTCTAGGCTGCGTTCAGACGGCGGCGTAAAGGGCATACAGGCATACTCATAAGGGCATAAAATACGGGAATTCCGTTCACACTTGCGAGAACGGTGTGTAAGCCGTGGCCAATGAGAGAAGATAAATTTGCGCATGCGTGGATGTGTCTGCAACTTTCCCGCGCTGTTCACCTGCTCGATTGATTTCCCGCGTTCGGTCTGCTTATTTTGTAACAGCGAAATCTTCTGTAGAACGCCGCTTCGTTTTAGCTTCGCTCTGATTGGTCGACGATTATCCCAAACTCGGCGTAAAGTTGAAAACTTTGAACCCTATGCCACGAGCCCTAAACCAGATTTTGTGACGTAGCAGAGACTGGTTGCCTTGGCAACGGAGCTCGGCTTTAAACAATTGTGCCCTTTACGCCCTCGTCTGAACGTAGCTTGAGCGCACTGAGGAATGGGGAAATTGCGCTAATACTTTTTAAATTTCTATTAATTGTATCTAAAAAGCTAGGAGTTAAAATAAACTAAAAAATACCGCAATTAATGTTAAATAAATGTGCTCAATCTTGTTTCAGAATATTTACTCGGCTAGAGTGGACAAATTCTTGTGTAAATGTATCATTTCCTATAAAACATCCAGTAATAACCAGCAAAAATAATTTTTTACTTCTTCAAAAGGATTGAAAATGAACCAAACGTTAGCGAAAGTATTCATTTATCGCTTAGAAATTTCTAAATATTTTTTTATAACGTACAAGAATTAAAAAGTGTTTCATAATTCTTTTCCTGCTTTATTTATTCATAATTCTTTTTTTTCCTGCTGGTACTACGTTCATTAAATGTTATATTTTCAACAAAAATGTTTAATAATTACATTTCCTAAAAGATGTGCCATTTTTTTTTTTAAATAATTTTTGTATTAGCTTTTTAATTTGGATTTCTTTTGTATTTCAGGCAGGATGGGTCATTTGGGATTTTTATATTCCATGCCTAGCAGTTGGCGTCAATCTATTTCTGTACTGTGGAGTTCCTTACCATGTACGAGATGGAGTGAATATATGGGATATAATGGCTAAGCATAAAGTTACGAGTGCCAACCTTGTAACCAGCGTCGTGGACAGAATGGAGAAGCTGGAGATCGTGCCAAGTGAGTCATTATTCAAAAAAATTTAATAGTATTGCTACGGTTGAGCCTATATATGATATTTACCGTATATTCTGGCATATAATGCTCACTTTTAATACAAAATATGAGATCGAAATTTACGGGTGCGCTTTATACATCGGATATTAAATAATATATTTAAAAATAAGGAAAAGATGAGTATACAAAAATTAGATTTCTAATTATACCTAAATGATGTTTTTTCCTTAAAAGAAATGATATTTCTTATGAGCTTAAAAAACTTCCTTATCTGATAACATGAAAATTTCGTCATAATCGTCTTCCCATATATATTCATGCACATCATCGAATTCTGTTTCAACTTCAGCATCACTGCTACTCTTATCCATAAATACATGATCATCTTCCGTTCCATCTAGATTGTTCAACAAGACAGTGCTGAATTAAAACTATGTAAAACAATATAAACACAAAAATTAAAATCTGCATTGAAAAATATTACAAATTACAAATATCTAATTGCTGTCTGATTCATATAATCATTTATGGCTAAACTATCACATTTACTACGGAAATAATATTCCATTTTTAGTTTACGTTGCAGTAAAGTTATGTTCACGAATTTCTTTTTGGAAAATATTGCATTCATTTTCAGTTTTCCCGTTGAGCTTAACATTAGCATATATGGTGTAATTCTGCTCTAAAATGAAAAATACTCTAACGCAGTTCCCGCTAGGGTTAATGATAATATTATAAATCTACTTATGTATGGAATAATAATATTATGATTGTTCATAAAAAGAAAAATATGAATAATCTATTTTTATGTATGAAATATGTTTTAAATCATATATAAATATTTAAAACGAGAAATTATTAGACTATAGACAGAACATTTAGTATTGCCATGAAATGTCCAGTGGTTGAGCAGTGAAATAGCTTCTCCGCAAAACGGGCTTAAGGTTACCAGAAAATGACGGGAAAAGCAGGGTTTCCAGATTTGGAGCGAAATTGTGCATTTGGCGATAAAACTGACGACATGCAATAAACGGAGCCAGAACGTTCTAGAACGCAATTCTTAGGGGGTTTCCAGGGAACATTCTGAAAGGTAGATTACAGCTATACGTACCCTACCTGTACGCGGAGAAAGTAGCGTCCTAAGTCCAGAGGTTAGCTTGTGAGTAACAGCCGAATCGGGAGCTGTACTTTAGTGCTTTGCCGTCAAGCTGTCTTTGGCACTGTCCTGTGAAATAGTGCTTACTGGCAAATAAATCGTGTTTTGATTCTTCATCAAGTGTGATCATCAATTACTCCAAGTCCACGGACCCGTAGAACGCAACAGTATTTAATTTAAGTAACAAATTTGCTTCTGTTTGGAATAAGAGCAGTTTAATTACACACACGGGCAGATTTGCACTTGTAGTGACCAACTTGCATTATTTCAAAGGTTTGCGAAAGTGGCGTTTAAGCTTTGTGATTTGAACTCAGACTAACAACCCTTAAACATAGGTTTATTTAAGCGTACTAGAGCTATAAGATAAATATCAAAAGAATTTAATTGTTGACAGTGTAAAGCACATAACAAATACATGCTATAAATAAAGCTATAACAATCCTTGCTATAAATCTGAATTTTTGAAGTGAGTTTTGTTTGTTTTTTCATGTAACGTTTTCGTAAATTCATTACCAACGATTTTTAGAAAAGCTAGAATCAAGCAATGAAAAAAAAAAAAAAATGATTAGGATCACTATGAAAAGAGACTGTTGTAAAATGTGAAAAAGTCATACATATCCGGGACTCCGCTGTTGCATACTGTATACCGAATGTTTCTACGATTGTGAAAAACAAAAACGCTATTCAAACGGCTAAATGTACAAAGGGGATGAAACCAATTGAAACTGTAGACGTTAGAGTACGTTGAAAAATTGCTTTTGATTTGAATAGAGAAAGCATTTATGTACAGTACCATGTACAATGCTTCCTTTACTCGGGATATATACTTCATCTAGAGCATTTGTATTTTAGCATTAAATTGCGTTCCATTAATATTAAAAGAATTTCTTTATAAGAACGGGTCAATTATTTTCCCTTAGCTTTTCGTTGAACAATTTCGTTTCGTATACCTCCAAGCATCTGAAACAGATTAATGTTGTATACGGAGTTTGTAATAAGACATAAGTAATTGACTTAAATGTACAAAAAATGAGTCTTTATTAGCAGTGCTTTATGATAGTTTTCTTAACCCAAAAAGGCGTTAGTCCAGAAGGGTTTTAGTCTCGAAACGGCATTTTGCGTCGCTTCAGTAAAAGCTTTGAATGGCTTTTCAAATTGTTGACACCAAACATTATGGCCCCGTACTATATTTAAAGGAACTAATTAATGAATAATCTGCATGAATGCATGCATGGGTCTTTTATTGTACAAAAACAACGGTACCTGGAGCATAGAATTTTAAATGACGTCATCCTTCACCGGAATATGGACACTTGGAAGCCCAGATATGTGAATTTGGAATTTGTTTGATCATCTAATTCATATTTTGTAAAACTTCAAAGAAATGTTTATCAAAATACTCAACGATTTCAAAGCGAGCATTAGCAACACTGTAGAGAAAAACCACTTTTATCTCCAGCTCCTGAGATTGTCTACTCGAAATTCTAAAGATACGTTATTTTAAATACCGTATTTACGAATCTAATGCGCATCGTTTTTGGCCAAATGTAGTATTCAAAATTGGGGTGCGCATTAGATTCGATGGCGTATTAGATTCGAGTGCAAAGTTCGCCGATGACGTCAACCAAATTTCTCGACTACATTTACCGTTACATTTATCGTTGACACATTATTGCATAGAGGATACAAACTGCAGAGTACGTAGTCACGAAATGGAGGGCAAACAGAGAAGAATGTCATATGACGCTACTTTCAAACGTAAAGTAATTCTTTATGCTGAAAAAAAAATGGCAATAGAAAGGCAGGGAGAGAGTTCAACGTAGCTGAGAGCAATGTTCGCTTGTGGCGGCAACAGAAATTGGCACTGTTTGCAACTAAAGCTAGTAGAAAGAAATTCACTGGCCCTCGCAAAGGAAGACACCCTAAAATTGAAGAAAAAGTTTTGGAATTTGTACGTGAAAGGAGGAAGAATGGACAACCTGTGACTAGTGACACCATAAGAAATAAAGCAAAAGAGGAGGCTGAAGTTCTTGGAATACCGAAACAAGAGTTTAAGGCTAGCCGTGGATGGGTGGATCGGTTTATGAAGCGGATGGGTTTATCTCTAAGACGCCGTACAACAACAATATGCCAAAAGCTTCCTGCAGATTTTGAGGGAAAACTACTAACATTTCAGCGGTATGTTCATCACACTTCGGAAGGAAAAAGAATTTTTCAATGGGGCAAATTGGCAACGCTGACGAGACGGCCAATTTGGTTTGATATGCCTCGTAACTACACCATTACGGAGAAGGGGACTAAGGAAGTTATCATCAAAACTTCGGGATGTGAAAAACAACGCGTAACAGTGATGCTGGCAATAACAGCAGACGGGTGCAAACTTCCCCCTTTCTTAATCTTCAAACGGAAAACATGCCCTAAAACCCCTAAGAATGAAAAGCTGTTCCCAGATGATGTCCTGATTCGAAACCAAGAGAAGGGGTGGATGACGGAATCATTAATGCTTGATTGGCTCCGAAATGTATGGAAAACGCCGTCCCGGTGGGCTCTCTAATCCACCATCAATGCTTTGTCTGGACGCATTTCGTGGTCATCTCACCGACGACGTAAAAAAGAAGATGCACAGCCTAGGCAGTGATCTTGTTATCATTCCTGGAGGGATGACGTCTGTGTTACAACCCCTGGACGTTAGTATAAATAAACCTTTTAAGGGGTACGTTCAGGCGGAGTACGAAAAATGGTTTTGTGAGCCAAACCGTGTATTGACCCCGACAGGAAAAATTAAGCGTGCTGCACCGCACATTGTTGCACACTGGGTTTCTGCTGCCTGCCTGGAAAAGCATCGAAGCACCAATGATTGTGAAATCTTTCAAGAAATGCTGCATTGCAAATTCATTGAATGGCAGTGACGATGACGTGCTCTGGAACGCCGAGGATGACGATGACGATGATGAGGAAAGAAGAAATGAATCTGCTTCTGACGAAGAGAGCTGCGAGGATTCCAGTGATGAAAACATTAGTGAATAAAGACGTTTACTATTAATCACTGATTGTAGAAACTGTTAGCTAGATAGAAATGTTACGATTTATTTCATGTTCATATTTTACGATAGGTACCGTATATACGGTAGTGCTAATTAACAATGATTGTTTCACATGTCACATGACAATAGCCCACTAATAGGTTAATTCTATGTTCTGCTACTTTATGTATAAATCCATTGTTGTATAAAATATGGTATCTAAATTTAAAGAAAATTATCATACCATTAATTGATAGTTTATATACAAATCCATTGTTGTATAAAATAAGATTCAATAAATTCCTCATATCATTGATGCGCATTACATTCGCCGACAAACAATTTTTTTATTATTTAAAGTTTTAAAATGGGGATGCGCATTAGATTCGCATAAATACGGTATTTTAAGCTAAAAAGAGTGTTACCTCGAATGCTCTCGTAACGTGTGTGTAAAGGAAAAAAAAGTTGGACGTAATATAACCACTTTGGACGTAATATAACACTTTTTTTTTTTTTTTTTTTTTTTTTTTTTTTTTTTTTTTTTACTGAGAGTCTTGGAACTTTTGTGTATTTGTTATTTCTTTACCTGATACGTTCTGCAGACTGAAATAGTCATTCGCTGTTACTTTTTTTGTTCTGTTTTAAGTACTCTGATTTTTTATAAATCTACTGAGTGAGGAAGTTCGTATCAGTAGAATTGTAACCGATATGTTTTAGTGTCAGACATGCAGCTGCCTTTGAGACTCTTTGACACTGATCATGAACTTCTAATTTTTCAGGGTCAAGGGGACATTATCCGAGAAGCTACTACTCTCATAATATCATATTATATCGTCTCAAGCATCTGTATAGCTCTATTATTTGGCGCTTAGTATTTACCTTGCGTGGCGAATTAAAACGAGTAATGTTAAATTGAACATCATTTTTTACTACCAAAATTTTCAAAACTGCGGAATTTTCTCCATGAGCAGTTGGTTAATTAGAATGTTTCATTCTATTTTGTAACGTATCCATTGGTTAATGGAAACAAATACTAAGTAATAAATAAATTCTTGCAATTAAGAGATGTAATTTTATAGTCATTCAATTAATTTTTAATTGTATGTTTATCAGTATTGCTTCGATAGACAATTTTTTTTTCTGCAGGTCCAAAATCAAATTTAGAAAAATTAAAGAGTGTATTCATAATTGGATCTCCTGTCAAAGTTAACAATGTCCGATATATTCTTAGCAAAGTTCAGAAGAATGCTTTCGTTGCCAGTCTGTACGGTAAGTGTAATTCATTAACGACGCGATTACTTTATTATATTGCCATTATGTAATATATAAGACCTTATAATACATTTTAGTTCAGTAGAAATTTTACGTATATGTCCCAAATTTTGTACTACTTTCAGTACTTTTTCCTCCACACGTAAAATCATTTACCAGCAACAAAATGCTGGTATCTGTGCAATCAGTAAATACCAACAGAACACGGTAACTCTACAATAGTGCTACTCAGTAAAAAGCCTTCAAAACACGCACTGGCATTTCAATGCATTAGTTACGTACTCCTTCAAGTGAGGAGGGGCGTTTGCCAATAATTCTACCACGTGCAAAAGTGTTCTAATGTTTCCTTCTAACCCTACTGCACGTAAAATCTCACATTTCCTTCTAGAAAAATGCCTAGAAATAAGCCTTCCTTTATTCTTTTTAAGTTGCCTTGCATTACCTGCGCTGAATTCTCGCGTTATGCGTGGCCTGACGTACCCTCTGATATCATGGTGCTGATATGTGCATACGCATGAATTTTCTCTTGAGTTATTCTTTCATTGTATTGATGCTGTAAGCTGTTTTCAACAATTTCATGGTTTCAGGTTAAAAAATTAATTTGTTGCTTTTGAACATTAATGTAGTTTTGACATAGATTTTTGAAACAATAGCCTGAGGTTGCCTTTGCACCTAATTCCAAATTTTGCATTATCGTGTTTCTCTTATACATAAATAAATATATATTGTACTATTTATATAAATAAATATTTATTGTACTAGATATTTGTTCCAGGAGCTACAGAATCCTTTGAATGTTTCTCTGGATTTGACTTGAACTTGCCTTCTTACGCTGGAGAAGTCCAGGCGTTCGCCCTTGGCTTGGATATCCGCTGTGTTGACGATGACGGTAAGTGGTGGCTTCTAAACAGGAGTAATAAAACTCCCAGTTCTAGAATTACTGAACAGTAAACTATAAAGCCAACGTTTTGCTTGTAATTTTATGATTTGTTATTAGTTTATGCTGAAATTTTCCCTTCATATTGCCAAAGTAAGACTTTCAAACTGTAAATGTTTTTTGATCCGTCCTATTCAACAATCAACTTACCTCTGATTTTACCTAACTGGCCAAAGAATATTTAAGGAGCAAAAACATTATTTTTGTTTTAGTATACGATAGCATTGTATTCTGAGAAAGGAGAAATGAACTTGTTAAGAACGATGTAGCCACTTTTAACAAAATTCTTATAGTTATAAAGCATGAAAAATTGGCATGATATATGTAGACTATTAAAGAGCTAGCATATATCGGCAGAGCAAAATGTAATTTAAATGTTGATTAAAGTAGTCGGAAGACAACTTAAAACTCCTAAGTGAGTAATATGACTCCTCTTTGACATCACGTGAAAGGAAACAACGTTATTAAACCTGTATTAATAAGAGATTCAATCGAAATTTAATGCTACGGTGGGAAAATATGCAGTACATTCTCCTTAACGGATATTCGTAAAATTTGGATCGAGCTAGTTAAAAAGGATACAGGAATCAAAATGAATCTTTCTTTACAATGTCAATTCATTGTGTCGAAAGCGAAAGAAAAAGGCAAACAACTTGGATTTAGTTCAAGCCCCTGGACGGAACAATAACAAAAATGTGTCGACGAAGTATTCAAATAGATAATTTCCTGTCAACATGAACAGAATATCCGTGTAAGAATGGCCAAAACACTTAAGATCAACTAGTTTCTGAGTATTTTTAACAAAATGTTCTCCATGGAATTTTATTTTAACTCTTAGTTTGACATTGTGCTGTAAAACAAAGCTTAAATGAAAAAGTTACCAATCTGTAAAAAGTATTGTAAAAAGTTTGAAAGAAGAGTTACTCTAATATAACAGATTTCTGTAATTATTAGAAATCGTTAAAGCCTGAATAATATGCTAGCACATATAAGTATCCATTTTCAGTACTTTCAAATAGACTGATCTCAAGAAGAATGATTTTACAGACTGGTTTGGACGAGAAATGTTTTGGTGTCTTCGGACATTTTGATATTCTACATTTTTATAACATACCATGACATTTTCATATCTGCTAAATATGTAATAACTGCTGCACGGGAAATCCCTGAACTGACTGGCATCCAGAAAGAATTCAGGAAGAATTCAAAGAAAGTATGACTGGCCTCCAGAAAGAATTTAAGGGCATTAAATTGATTTCACAGGAGGGAGAAAAACCACAAACTCTTGTGTCAATTTTACTAGTTTTTGCATTAAGATTTTTAATGCTATGCAGTGCTTGCATTCTTTTGTCGAAGAAAAAGAAGAATTCAGGGTTATCTTAAGTGCATGAAAGCCCTGACCTTACATGATCCCATGTTTCTCGCTATCTGAAATTGCTTCTCTTTTCTGCAAATGTCAAAGTTCACTTTTAAAACAACGTTTACTTTGGAGTTTAATTATTATACACAACAGCAAATACCGCAACAATAATATAAAAAAAATCAAGATGTGTACACCTTGCACGAAATATTAAATTATACCCAGTTTGTCTTGCATTTCATTTAAACTTATTGGATTGAATTAAATCTATTTCGCCGACAGCGCATAAACCACAATAGAATAAATGCATTTTTTAAAATTAACTCTATTTGTTTACCATAGCGACACTCTGGCGCTAGGTTCAGTTAACAGTATTATATTTTGTTCATAACTCAGAATGCAGAAAATAAAGAATTATCTAATCGTTGCCACACGTTTTGTTCAAATACTATAATAAAGCTAGAACGATGTATAAAAGAAATTAAGCAAACAAAACAATAAAGAAAAATTTTTTCACAGACGATTGAGTATTTCTCATTCAATTAATTCAGTTCTCACTTCGCGACAAGGGAAAGATACATAAAACTCAAAATATTTGTATTAAAAATTACGAAGTAAATCTTAAACACATATTTCCTCCAAAAAAGAATTCCAGAAAAGATTAAGCATGATTTAATTCGCAATTATAAATGAAGGCGTTATCTTTGTTGTTCCGAAGCTAAGTTTCCCTAGATTGGCAACAAATCCACTATCCTGCTGTTTCAAATGCAAACAAGCAATGGCCGCTATCAAAGAAATTATTAGGCCTAGCGGCACTTAAACAACTTTAAAATTGTTGATAATTCTAAAACTACTGCATACAGATTTACTAAAGGCATAAAAAACTTAACCGGAAGATAAGAACAACATAATTCAATCATTTTGAAAGCAAAAAATGTACAAATTACAAACATATAAGAGTAAACAAACTGAGATCACTGAGCAGGGGGACAGAGTGGATACATATATAAATATACTTATATGCGTTTGGTGCGGCCGATTGCAACCAAAATAGGAGGTGCACATCTACATGTTATTGCAGTCCTATATACAAAATTTCAACGTTCTGAGGCTACTCGCTTTTGAGTTACGCGCGATACGTACGTACGTACGTTCGTACAGACGCCACGAAAAATTGTCTTCAGAATTCATTTTAAAGCAGTTTTATATTTTTTTTTTTTTTTGAGGAAACGAGTCTTTTATTCTGTCCTTACGTACAAATATAACGCAAAAACATCGTTAAATTGCATTCGATAGCGGTCAAAATGTATATTTTCGTTGAAATATGCTGCCTGAATCTTTTCGCGATTACAGTACTTCCTTTTTGCTTCGTACACGGAAGCAAAAAGGAGTATAAAACATATCTGTGTAAAAAGCTTATTACGATGTGCAATGCTCGATATGGGAAAAAAAGAAAAAAAAATCTGGATTTATACCTCTTTTTTTTTAACTTTCCGTCACATATGAAATGGATCCAAATGAACAGCGAACACCCCAGATTTAGAAGAGTCTTCTGAATTTCATAACTGCATGCATTTTCAAAATTAATATACTTGTTTGCTTCGAACAGTTGCGCAAACCTATCTATCTATAGCATCCTATTACTTGTCTCTTTAGCATCCTTGATATTTGCAACATAATACTTCGTGTCATTTTTATCATTATTAGTCAAGTACATTTTTAAACTAGGTTTCGTTCTACGCATCTATCCTGCATACATTTGTATTCGTCTAAACTTCTGAAGGAGCTATTATGGAGCTCCATGTAGTAATTGCTTCTAGCCAGAGTAGGACGGGGGACATGTACCTGCTTACCTCTGTTAGCCACCAGGTGCCTCCGTCCTCCGTCACCTGTCACCTGTAATCAATAGTTTGCAGATGTCTCAGTTATTTTAGACAAAGTATGTATGACGACAAGTTACATGCATTATACATGATTTTATATGAAGGGTTGTTATAACGACATTTATGTGAGTGTGATCTCTGGAAAAGCTTCCAGGCACATGAGAATACACTTTCGTTGGAACTACTCGCTGATCAATATAGCTGAAAATAAGTTCTGCAGCCTCTAGATAAAATAAAATTCATTCCCTTTCATTAAAACAATGTTACACAATATAATCAATTTTCTGCTAAAAATGATATTTTAAAACCGTTTATTTCAGGACGTCCCATTTTGGACAAAAGGGGTGATATTGTGATAGCTACTCCAACTCCTTCTCTTCCTATTTGCCTATGGAAGGATGTCGATAAAAGTATAATGAACGCCACGTATTTAAGCCAACATCAAGGTAAAGTCATTTTAAATGTAATAAGCATAGATAAACTTTAAACCATTTTCTAAGTAGTGTATATTTTTCTTAAACATGAAAAGTATTCATCTTTTTCCAGGCATGTGGTGTCAGAATGATGAAGGTTGGATTAATTCGAAGACAAAAGGCCTCATTGTTGTTGGAAGAAGGTAACGTGCAGTTCGCTTTTAATAAATAAATAAAGTTACATATGGGGTAATTATCTTCTTTCTAAAACTGTGCATGCAATTTACAATATTCAGTTATCTATTTAAAATCTTCTGCTATGATTTGTTTCTACACACTTGGAGAATTGATTGAAACCAGAATTATAATAATGGAGTGTGAATTGTTTTATCATAGTGAGTACGTTACTCTGTAAATTGAAGATAAACATGCTATTTTGCCTTAAAACAATTGCATATCTCTTCTATTTTTTTAAATAATTATTTAGGAAAACATAATAAGAAGAAAGCACAAACATATTTTCCGTGTTGGCTCTTCATTAACCTTCTTCCTTGTAGATCATATATTCTATGCGTTTTAATGTTTATAACATTTTTCCATGTCTTATATTGCAAATGATTGGTCAATGTCTTCCTTTCTGTACACTATTTTCTTCTTCGATTGGAACCCGAAACTACTGAAAATCCAATTGACAGATGTCTTGATGATGTCATTTGATAGACTTAACTGAAAATCCAATTCTTAGATGTATTGATGATGTCAATTAATAGACTCTACTGAAAATCCAATTGATAGATGTCTTGATGATGTCAAATGATAGACTCGACTAAAAATCCAATTGATAGATGTCTTGATGATGTCAAATGATAGACTCGACTAAAAATCCAATTGATAGATGTCTTGATGATGTCAATTGATAGACTCGACTGAAAAATCCAATTTACTTTCAGTCGAGTCTAAAAATTCATGTACTATCTGTTTAAATATTCTTCTTTGTGTTATGACATGACAAGCGTAAACGAAGAAATTAGGAATTAATAAAAGAAACACTCATAAGTGTTAGAAGGAATTTGCAAAGTATTTTATGTTAACTAAACATTTATTATGATTGAACTTGCGATGTAAATTCGCTTTTTGGTAGCCCTCACCAGAATGCAAATTAAGTGGTTGAATATTTTTATCGAGAGTTTTGAATGTTTTGCAGTTAGAGCTTTTGGTAGCGTCGCCTGAAGTTTAGGTCTTATAGTCCAGCTCCATCAGTGATTATTAAGGATTTAGCTATTTTTTAGCCAACATTAAAAACACACCATTTAAAATACTGAGTCAGCGTAACACTAGATGTACGGGACCCGTCATTTTCATGAATTTCGGATTTCATAGGCAAAATTACAAAAATCATTATTTTAATAAATTTATTATTTATGCTTGCTGGCAATTATCAATGCAATATGAGACGAATACATAAATTAATATTCCTTTCACCCCTTTAACTTCAAAGTTCTGTATGATTTGTATTTATCTCTATGGCTACCCATCAAAATGATGGGTAAGCTAATTTCATATTGAATCATGATAAACCCTTATTTATGAAACTATTTTTCGGTGCCAAATAAAAAATTAGAACATAGATACTAAATAATTTAACGGACGGCTTTTCGTCAGAGCAAGGGATATGCCACGTATGATTATATGTCAATCTTACGTGCCTAAAGCGTAAACACGAAGCGTTAGGTTCAAGACTAAGGAACAGTCTGCAGTCATTGTGTTCCATTCAATGTGTCGAGACGTTTCAGTTAGTACGGGGAGATACGATTGAGAAGAAAGTATTAGATTATTTATTAGCAATATCATTACGGAATAAAAGGAAAGTGCTAGTTTTACTTTATTCTGAGGAAATAAATACCTTTCTTTAATCATCATGAGTAATTCAAGAAGAGGTACTGAATTGCTTAAGAGAACACTTGGTATCAGCGAAGATTGTTCTGGTAACACGGTCAGACATTGCCTCTTAATACGGCCACCCAGACCGTAAAGTGGTTAGGGAAGCCTGACTGCGATACCGAAGGCCCAGGGTTCGAATACCGGAGAAGGCATGGATGAAAAAATTAAACTGTCCCTTCATAGGAGGTAACGGTGATGGCCTATTAGGTGCCTTCACAATAAAATGGCCACCACTTCTGGCCTTAGTAGTGGCCAATGCCGTTCTAAGCAAGGTCCCGCCATTGGAAAAAAAGTCTGTTAACACTAAAATTACCGTAACTTTTTTACACGGATAAAAACAATTACAAACTCGTCTAACTGAGGCTTATTGGTAGATCCAGTGTTAAGATTCTATAAGTGTTTTTAAATTAAATTAATTGCTTCTTTAAAGAAAATACGCGGTTTTCTAAGAAAATACATGGTTCGTAAGTATATGTATACAAAAATATCTTTTAACCAAATGTTAAGTATAATAGTTTAGTAATTTTTGACTACACTACCTTGAATTTGAATTTTAAATTTATGTTATTTTAAACAACTGCAGGTGGCGGGGTTTTGGTTGTAAAGATGGGCTGCTCATTCCATTTCATTTCAAAATTAAATACATTCTGTCACAAAAAATACTCGTATATGCATTCAGAAGGAAACGAACTACTAACTCGAATTATAAGTGTATGAGGAAACTTAACATGTATGTAGTGTATGAGGAGATAAAAAAATTATTAAAAATTCAGAACAAAAGATCGGTTTATTAAGAAGTTATGGCATGAAAAGGGTACAGATCAGTAATTACTTTAGTCACCTTTGGCAGCCATAGAAGCCGAAACACGCCGTGGCATCGAATCAAGTATGTCACCTATGACCTCCTGGGGAAGATCATGCCGTAAACATTGCAACTAGGCAGTTAATTAGCCAATATTCCGGTTCGGCTGCTAAGACTCTATATACCGTCTAAGCATGTCCCGAACGTACTGTATTGGCGAGAGGTGTGACCTGGCAGGAGCACGTCATATCCTTGAAGACGTTATTGGGAAAGTCGCGCAGTATGTAAAGGAGGGTTGTCTTGCTGATAAATGACACTGGGTGACCTGATAGCATAGGCAGTACAACTGACGTTAAAATGTCATCTACATAACTGGGAGCCAGCACAGTGCTTTGAAAGACGATTAGAGGTGTTCGTATGTCCTAACAAATCACTCTTCACACTGCCACACCTTGTCTAATCGCCGTATGTCGCTCGACAACAAATTCCGAATCGGACTGCTGGCCTGGTAGCCTCCACAAGCGCGTGCGTTAGTCATCAGCGCTGAGACTGAATCGGGATTCATCGCTGAAGATTATACGCCTCTGTCGGTTACACTCCAGCTTGCTCGAGTTCGGTAAGAATTCAATCGACACTGACTATGATGTGGGGTCAGTGGTAGGCGTCTTAATGGACGTCGGCAACATACAGTAGCGTTGACCAGTCGTCTCCGAATGGTTTCGCTTGATACCACCGAATACCTGCAAGGTGGTAAATGGAGGCGTATCGATGCTAACGATGTTATTTGGGCGGGAGGTGGACGCTTTCATGATTGCGTGATCCTCGCGCTCATTTGTGGTGCTGGGACGACTTGGCCTTCCACGACGGTAGACTATCCCGTGATCCATTGTTTCCAACACCAAGGAACTACCGTATTGTTCCGACAGAGATTGCGGCCGATGCGACTGCTCGACCAACCCACTTCCCTGAGCCTACTATACGCCCCTTCTCAAAGTTCCAAAACTGTTCGTACTGCAGCAAGTTACCTGTCAGAGTTATCTCTAGTCACAATACTGTCCATCCATGTCGACAGATTCGCTTGAATAGCCGTACGGCACGAGCAATAATGCTTTTAATCTCTCCCAGCTGCGTATCTCATATGCACATAAAGCACTTACACTTGCCCCATTGGAGTCGACATTTAAATCATTTGCATATACCTTACTAGACTACATTCCTGCCCACTTTAGTGATTGTGTTTCGATTTCTTCTGGATACATATGTAGTGTTATGACAGAGTATTGAAAAGGTTATTTAATATTTCTCAAGGCATTGTCATCGTAGTTGCAGACAGTTTACTATTTCACAATTAGGTTAACTTTAATTATTTACTTTTCTAAACTGCACATAAAAACGTTTTAGCATACGGGAGAAAAAAGCAAAGAATGTAGTCGGAACCCAAAAGACGAGTTTATGTATTAGGTTAAGATCATCACGTATAGTTTCAAAAGGCAATCATACTCTTTTATTTTACAAGAGTTTTAAATACTTTTTCGACAAGAAAAAGAAAATTTAATTCATTTATTGAAAAAATGTCCATAAGAAAAAGCAGTACGTCTATGAGAATTTCTTAGACTTCCAGAGTAATAAACGATTTATTATGTTATAGATTAATAAAAGTCTATAAGCATTTCTTACAGAAAAATTCTATAAGAAAGAGAAAACCCTCAAGAAGAGTTATTTTATTAGGTGTAAAATGATTGCATTTTGCATCAAAAATGCAGTCACGTTTTTCAGCTTACCACTATAGGTCTATACACGCAAGATAATTAAATAATTTAAGTTAATATATTTCGGCTATGATTTTATGATGTTAGAAAATGTAAAATAACTCAATTTGAATTTCATTTTTGAAACTTATATTTTAGCGACGACACTCTGAAACAAAACTCAGAACGTTTTGGTGCCACGGATGTATATTTTGCCAGTAAGTTCCAATTTTCTCTTAGATTTTCTATTCATTAACGATTAAAAAAACATTGGAAAAAATTTAAGATATACAGGTAATTTACAGCCTACATTTTACAAAAGACAATTATACGAAATATGAAACGACACATTGCGCAGTAATAATAAAAATTAGGATTTTACACCACAATGAAAATTAAAAGGTATTTATTTTCCGCTATGCTGGAGTGGACCATTAATTAGCCATTTGGGCAATGATCTACCACTTATGTTTTTAGATGGCTCCATTAAAACGCTGTTTTTAAATGTGAAAATAAGTAGAAATGATTTGAAATATATAAATGAAAACGATTAAGTAACTTAAACTCTAATTAAGTAACTTAAACTCTAATTAAGTAACTTATAACTCTTTAAAATTTTAATTTTAATTAAACTTTTTAAACTTTTAATTCCATTAAATTAAAGTGGTAATAACTGGCGCTATAGTACTTCCTAAGGGAAATTCCAGACCTTTTTTGGGAAAATGAATCACAGTGTGTTCAACTGGTACAATTTTGTATCCTGACATCTACGTGGGAATATTCGACTAGCGACAACACATTCGGCGTCCCTGGACATGGATACGTTATATGAATTGGCATGTCACTTCGAGTAATATAAGAATACAGAAGGTGCCGCATGAGAATACGCGAGACTGGGAGCTATCTTTGGTACGTTCTGATGCAATAAAAAGTATACTAAAGAAACCATATCAAAAACATAGGAGGACCCTGGGTAATTGGTTCCACAAGTCGAATGATAAACTCAAAGTAACTTAAAAGCAGGAGATTGCATATTACATCCTTACCGGATTCACAATATAAATCGCGTAGATACTCACCGTTAGCTGGCAGTATAAACGAAAAATAGGAAATTTTGTGTGAATGGTACACCTGGATTCCCTTAAGACATTTAAAAATTTCATTAGGGAACATTGACATTTCTCTGACCTTAGTATAAAACAAGGTGAAATTTCATATAGAAGGTGTTTATTTCACAGGATAGGGAGGAAAAGTTTAGATTACCTAAATTAATACACTCGATGCTAAAGAGACAACGAAACACCAAATATTTTATGTCAACGTTTTCGCTACAGTTGTCCATTTACACTCATAGCACGTAGACGTTATTACTGCGTTTCGTGTGTATTTGCTAGTTATTTGGGAAACACTTTGTCTGCCAGATGACTACCACGTTTACACTGAACAAGACGCAATGCACTGCACATCACTGCATAAGACTGCAACACGGCTCGCAACACGTTGCACAAAATGGTTGCGGACACTTTGCATAACACAGCCAAGGACATCTAGTCTGCATTCACATTCCTCCCGATTCATTCGTTCAGCTTTTCCACACTTCCTGCCCACTCTTCTTCCTTTAGGGATACTTGAAGGATACGGCGTTTGCTAAAGCTTGAAGGACAATGTTTCAAACAGCTTATCATTCAATGTTCCTAAGGGAAGAACCTTTTTGATAAGTCGAGGTACCTCGCGAACCACTGAATGTCTCTGAAACTCGATATAAAGTGACCTGGAAGAATTCTTTAATGTGTTCGTACTGAGACAATACATGTGGGAATTGCTTCTTCCGTCCTCTTGGTAGTTGAGTGTTACTGCAGCTGAGATTTCGCGAATGACATCGTTTCAATAAACCTCCCTACAACAGAAACACACGATGCCGAATAGGCCAGCGCAGCACGGCTACTGATAGTCAAGGCCACAAAGCTCTTTCTAGAAGCCTTACGCTACCACCCGCCCCCGCATTATAACAGTATAAACACCTCTCCATTTAGAAAAATTTCCGAAACACATTCGTTTTGCATATGCAATTTGTTTCAAGAATAATTTTATCAAATGCACATGAAGCGCAGAAATTAAATATACGTACATTGCATATATAAGTAAATCGAAGACAGTAGCGAGAAGGACGACATAAAAATATGGAGTTTTATTATCTCTAGGGCTTAGTGTACCATTTTTAAAATTGGTAATCAAAACGCTCTACCCTATACTGCGTAAAATTGCAAGATCGTGAGTTCTGCCTGTGAGGCCAGGGAAACATTTGTAATATTAATGCTCTTTGCCTTGGTATGACTGGTGTGAACATTTATTTGCAGTCCACGGAATGGAAGAGATCATGGATTACATATGTGTGAGTCAAAACCGAGGTGATGGTGAATGCCGAGCCGTCCTCTTCGTCATGTTGAAGGATGGTTACGAATTTACACCAGAACTCAAGGAAAAGATTGCCTCAACTATCTACAAGGAGTTGTGGGAGTACTGCGTGCCTGAGGTCATTCTGAGCGTACCAGACATTCCTGTAAGTATTAATAAATATCACTGAATTATGCAAAGAGTGCATACAAAAACGAAATATTTACAATTCGTTTTTTGTTTGCACGTGTTGTCAAAATATAAATTATACTTTTTTGAATTCCTGCTTAAATTAATCCCTATTGTTATTTTAAATGAAAGTAGAACGAAACACAGCAGCAAGGAAACGAAATTTTCTAATACGGGAATTCATCTGGCATTACAAAATATCTAACCTCACATTTATTTATAACATACATATGAAACGAAGCTAGGGAGGTTCTTTAAAAAATTATACTTAACTGTGATGCATAAATTTAAAACAAATTTTCACATTTTTCCCTGAGGTAGTCTTTAGATAAAATTCATAATTTTGCAGTATCGGTAATTAAAAAAAGCACAGAGCATTTTAAAGCATTAAAGACGAAATTGTAAGTAACTTAGAATCCCTTTTTAAACCTAATGTGACATTTTCATGGCCAGCAAATTTGACTTTCAATCTTATCGAAAGCATTGAGAGAGAACAATTATTACTGAATGCCAAAAAGGACCTAGTGGGACAGAAAAATACAGGAATATAAAAATTCTGCAAATCATGCAGCGAAAAACTAGAAAATGATCATTATGAGAAGAAAATGTTATCTAGCTTAAAAATAACTGTAATCAGCATTTTCCAGATGTCATCATTACAGAGCTAAGGACAGCTCTTCGAGGAGAAAAAGGTTGTCTTAAGTAGCCTAGCTGTGAGTTTACTAATATCAGAACTACTATTTTTTTTAAATGAGTTTATTTCCAACGAATATCAAATCTAACTAGGCTGTTCTTTATTTGCTAAGAATTTTTTTCTCAAGGTCACTCATTGATAACAAATTTGACTCAGCATTAAAGAGTATTCTGGATCGTTCAGACGAGGGCTTTATGGTAATAAGTTTCATACGCCAAGCTTCATTGCTAGGCAACCAGACCTTGATACGTCACAGAAACTGATCTCAGGATTTTGCCTAAATATTCTAACTGTTCAGATTTATACTAAATTGGTATAAGAGCTGGTAAATCACAGCAAAAGATAAAAACTTAAAATAAATTTTCATGGCCAGCGAATTTGACTGTTAAGCTCATCGAAAACATTAAAACAAAAAATTACAGTGATAATTATTACAGTGTGTCAAAAAGGATCTATTGGGATAGTATGTCCTTACTTCAAGTATTGCAAATCACGCAGTGAAAAACTGAAAAATGACTATAGTCACTTATGAGAAGGTATTTGTCGACAGATTTACTGAGTCAGCTGCACATTTACGCTGATGCAAATTTATTTCAACCTTTAGGCCTTGTACAGTGATGAGAGTTTTTGATAATAAAAACGTAAAAAATGAAAATGCCTTCACCGGGACGTATAATTTACAAGTGCACATCAGTATCGCCACTGTCGGAGAGGTTTTAAAAATGGACCAATGAGCTCTATTGCTCTTGTGACGGTGAATCTTTTAAATTGTTCATATGAGCGGTGTTGTTGTTTACATTTTATTTTGCATTTGTTTCGCAGTTATAAATGTAAGGCCTATAAATACTTCTATCGTTTTACTAGGAAATCTTGCAGTGCTTTCCTTTGGTAAGTTTATTTAACCGTCAACATTTCACTTTCATGAAACTCATCGCACATTGATATTCGGATTAAAGTTCATGGTATATTATCGCTCTCTGTATCGAGAAACTTTGTAACTTGTGACTCAAGCTAGTCACAAGACTTGCTTGAGACTGACTTTTGTAACTTATGACTCAAGAAGTGTTACAATGAATCTATTACTTTCTTATCTCAATGCTTGCAATAATTTATTTTGAAAGCGTAAGGTTCAAAAGACATATTGCGAATGATCTGATTGATCTGAATGATCTGATTGCGAATGATCTGATCTGATCTGCGAATGATCTATCGTTAACATTCAACGTTATATATAAAATAAATTAAATATTTTTAATGGCCTTTGTAATGGCTATTATTATAGAACATCTTTTTCATAAAGACTTTTTTATAATATACAAAGGCTAAGACTATTGTATCTAACTTCGCTCTGAAAATTTTCACAAGAAATCCACGATGCTTTAATTATTTTGCACAGGAAATCACGTGGCAAAACATTTCCTCGGTGGCTATACAGTTATGCACTTACGAAGTATGCCGAAGGGAATCAAACCTGGACCTCTCGAATACGCGCCGAAAGTACACGGCGAAAGCATGCTGGAAGGAGTGAGAAAATATCTTATAGCGTATGACAACAATGACGACTTGATAATCATATGAATGCTCCCGTATGGAATTACCCTCCGACTAAACGACACCACTGAAATATTTAAATTAAGTATTTATTCAGTTACTAGAGAAATATTTTTGAAAATTTCTGAATGAGTGTAAAATCTTTGAATGTCACCAATGAGACACTAACGACTCGTGTGTTAAAAACTGTGGCATGTTGGATAAGTTTCAGCTGATCCATTATAGCTTAAAATACGAGTATAACCTGATTTTAAACTTATTTCTTTTACTGGGTCTTTATGCATTTCTTAATAACGAATGTTTGATTGTTAGATAAGATTTCGCACGGAACTGACTTCTTTTATTTGGAGTTGCTGTTTCAGTTTCGCGAAAGGCAGACGATATTCTTTGCAACAGCATGCAAAGAATTATATAACGTTTAAGTTTAAACAAAAAGAAACTGATACTTCTGCAACTGAGTTTTAACATAGAGTGATTTAATAATAGATAATCTGCATTTGTGCCTCGGGCTTTGCCAATCTACTAATGACATTTCTTTTCTGAGCATATATCGAGTTCCCGCCCCCTCACCAGCATAAGAAACGCGTTCTTTTGGCGACTGTATACGTTCTATGGCAATGATATTTCATTTGCATTCGATTTATTCTTTTAACAACTGTGAATTGGCTTTGTTCAATAAAGCATTTCTTTTATTAATTACAGTGATGACGAAAACTCCTTTGACAGAAGGTCTTGTATTACTTTACAGTATAATGACAAGTTGCCGGAGGACACTAAAGAATTGAAAAATAAATGCAGTATATCCAACAAGCTGCAAAAAGAATAGAAATGAAGAAATTACGAATGTATTTATTTATACAATATTATCTATTTATATCAAATCTATACATAAAAAGCTAAATAATACTGTGGAAATTAAGTAATGCATATCGATAGCTATACAGATAGCAGATAAATAAATAGATGCATAATATTTAACTAATTTGCAAACTGAAAAATACGAACTGTTTTATGAGTGCCATTTTGATAGTCATTACAGACGTTAAAACTGAGGTACTTGAGTGGGAATCTTATTGGTATATATTTTATATCACTTATTTATCAGCACCAGATGATAAAACTTAAAATTTTTCCAACAATTATTTTAAGATGAATAGTAAATTTGCAACAGCTTACATGTAGTCAAAAGAACTAATTTTTAATATATTATTTTCAGTATAATCTCAATAATAAAAGAATGGAAAGGATCGTTCGAGAAATCGTAGCAACGAATCGGATTCCTGAAGTCAATAACATCAAGAACCCGGAGTGTTTGAAATACTTTTGTGACATACCAGTGTTGCTGAACTATGTGAAGGAATAAAACTCTCTCGCTACTTTGCCATATTTGTTCACTGATGCTGAGCTCTAGAATCTGGGAGAGGAAAATGATATTGAAGGGTTTATGCGAAAGTTATTATCGCATAAATAACTGATGCACAATGCTGTTACAAATATTAAAATTAAACGGAAATCTGAGATGCTTCTTTCTTTGAAATTTACACCTTGCACAAGGAAAGTGGGACAGTTATATATCTCCCGATCTACTGGACCGATTGTCGAAATTGAACTTGCGTTTCTCATGTCTCGAAAGCACGACATAGAATATATGTTATATTTATATTATAGCATTGTTCTAATATAGGTATTATGACACAAAACCAGACTTTTTCTAAAATAATATACCAATTTTTTTAGTACTTCGATTCTCTACAACTCGAATGGTAGATAGTAGATATTAAATCGATAATAGTCGAATAGTAGATATTAAATTTCGTAACTTTTCGTGAGAAATTAAAAAAAAAATTATTTTGGAGCATTTCTTTCAGTTTGCGCCAAGAATAATACTTTGGCGATCTTCATAATTTAGAGCAACTTATTTTATTTTCCCTTTTTTTTCATTGTACACGAGCGAAAAAATATCATCGTTCATACTTTCAAATAATATTAATAAAGTGAGTAAACCACATTTGGTTTTATTTTCGTTTATAACAAATATGCCAAATTTCAAAACGTGCCTGTATGTAAATTTAAGTATATTTTAAGAAATTTTGAACAAAAATCTCTTGCAGGTATGCTTAGAAATATATCTACTTTAAGATGATGGTAAAACTTTTAAAGGTTTTAATACAAAATTTTTTTCGAAAAATTTATAACTATTATTTAAAAATACAAATTTTAAACATTAGTCATAAAAATAGAGGAATTCTATTTGGAATGAAGCTAAATTTCGAAATGTGAAAAGAAGACTCAAATACGTTTAATAAAAAAGAGATATTAATAAATATATACCAATTTCAATTAACATGGAGGAGCTAAAATTTTGAGAGCTAATGTTTAAAAAAGAGCTAATGTTTTTTTGGAATTATTTGAGTCGATTTGAAAGGAAATTTGAAAAGAACAGTGTTACGTTATTTCAGAAAAAGTCCGATTTTGTGTCAAAATACCTATTTTAAAATAATGCCATATATAAATCTAATATATAACCCAAGTCGCGCTTTCGAGACATGGAAAATATTAGTTATGTTTCGACAATCGGTCCAGTAGAGCAGGAGATATAGAACTCTACCTTTTTTGTGCAAGATGTACTTTTCATTACTACGAACAGAGATCAGATTATATTTCTATGCCTTAATTTGCAGATACTGTTAATAATTCGATTGTTGCATACCTTAAATGATCACTAGTTGGAATATGTTTATAGACACTTCACCAGATTGTATAGCTCACCATGTATGTAGATAATCAAGTTTTTAAAGAAGAATGTCGGGAAATATTGCATTGTCGTAAGGTACTCAGATATACTAAGTTGTTAATGCAACAAACCAATGACTGCGGAAATTATGAAAATATTTGCCAGATGGAGTAAAGTAAATTATTATTACGCTGGAGTATACACACAGCAGTTTTTTAGTCTTAGGTATGCTATTTTAAGCAATTAATTTTTCAGCTTACTCCCGTTGAAAATATTAAAAAGGTTTATGGGTGAGACTGTATTTGAACTTTATTCAGTACATTCGAATTCTTATATACTCAGTGCCATATAAATATTCAGGATGATCAGAAACCGGAATAATTGAAAGTACAAGCACAAGAAAGTCTTTTTTAACTCCTTTATTCGTCTAAAATTCAGATAAATAATTTAGAGTAAGTTTCATTTTGTCAAAGTCGTAGAATTTCATTCATGTTGTTAAAGTATGGAAAAAACGTTTTTGGTCACTTTTTGAATCATAGAATAAATGTAGTAAGATAGTCGGTATTTTGAATGTAAAAGCAAGTAATCATGTAGTTGTGTAGATGTTGATTTTGGTTTTGTTTATTTCCAGCAATTAAACATTCGAAAATATGGCTGATCGTCTAATGTTACGATTTTGCATCACTGTAGCTTTGTAAAACTATAAATAAAAATTTATGATACTAAATTGTGCATTTTTCATTTGCTTTGTTTTTATTTATACAAATTGCATAATTCTAGGATTTGTATGTAAATGTTTGTTATTTATACAAATTGCATAATATGTAAGATTAACTAGAAATGTAATTTTTGAAATGATACTAATTTTTCAGTATTCAATGATATCTGTAAATATGGAGAAATTTTGTTAAGAAATGTTTCGAGGAGCAGAATGATATGCACGTTGTAAGCGGGTATTTTTTAAAAAAAGGAAATTTTTTAAAAGCAATGCGGTAGCACTTGAAAATATAAGCGAATCATCTCATATACAAATGGTTTAATTGAGTAACACATGGAGGTAATAAAGGAAAATTCAGATCTGATGTTTTACTAAACGTTTCCTCTTAGTTTAACAGAAAACGATTCCCTAAAGAATTCCCTAAAGATTTCCTAAAGAATTTCCCTAAAGATTTCCTAAAGAATTTCCCTAAACGTTTTAAAAAGAGCTTCACGAGGATTAAGAGCACTTTCTGCAATCGGATTGGTATGGTGGTTAGTGGTACCGCTTGCAGAGCACTGGACGCGTGTTCGAATATGGAGACGGTATGGATGTTTGTAAATGTATAGTGTGCTGCTTACAGCATGGAGATATTCAATCGAGACAAAAATCTATTCAACAGGTTGAAGGTAGCAAAAGATGAAATAGAAGACACTTGGATCCTTGAACATGAGTTGTATACTGACATAGATTCTGACATAGATTCTGTTGCATGTGTACTGGTTCGTAATAGATTGAATGCACACAGGTCCGCTGATAGGTTAATAAAAATTTATTTTAGCAAAATAAACACTTCAGTGTTCTGGAATATTCCGCAGAAATACTAGTACAGGACTTCACAGAGTACAGTCAGTAGTTACGCATCGAACTACTAATAACGTTAAACACAATACAATGCAAAGCGCGTCGAAAGAGAAAGATAACTCAAATATCTCAGTTCACTTAAAACTAACAACTCGCAAGAACAACAACGAAGCAACTGAGAGCAGATGCTATCTCTTTGGCCTTAAATAGTTTCCAGCCACCCTCCGAGATATTTCTAGTACTTTCTGCTTCTCGAAATTACGGGAAAGCAATACGAGGCTAGAATTACGGTTACAACTAACACAGTGGTCAATTACATTTATTCAATTTCAGTACATATTACGGTGATACAGAGGCCGGGCCCAAATGTCGTCAAAAGGTGCCCAAATTTGACGATTTCTAGACAAATTTGGAGACAAAATAAGTCGCCTAAAACGTTGTCAACTTGGTGATATCTCGCCAAATTACCGAGACACCCATTTACTCAATGTTAAATGCACTTTCTGTATTCTTACTTCTCTGGCATAGCTTCCCTTTGGATTTTTCATGTTACAAAAAAAAAAAAACACAACAGTTTTACTTATAATTCTACAATTTTAGTAGAATCTAAGCACAAAATTCGTAACAGTATCAAAAGGACATATTTGCAAAGTGCTTTTTGTGAAAAACAAAGGGAAAATAACAAGAGAAGGATCGGTTTTATAGTATAAGTCGTGAATGTCTAAAATCAGAAGAAGTAAGTTATATAATTTAAAGTATTACATTATAATAGTTGTAGTTACACTGCATGTATATATATAAATATAGGCCAAAGTGCAAATATAAATTTAATTGTAACTTACAGTTTAAACTCTATAGATGTAAGTGGTTAATCCACTGTCTAAACGCAGAGGGAGGTTCTTTCAAACCAACGATTAAGAAACGCCGCAGTTTGCCATAAAAGAGTGAGTGAGTGAGTGAGAGGTTATTGGCGCAAAACCAAAGATGATTATAGCGCGCCAAACACGAGATGGGATGATTACAATTGATGAAATTAAAATAAAATAAATAGAAACAAGAAGACAAATGTACCAAATCCAGAGGATAAAGTCATATAAAAACAAGTTAAAAGCACACATTAACATCCAAGACGCAATCTTCAAAACAAATTACTTTAGGTAATAAAAGCCAGTCTCTTTTAAATAATAAAATAAATTACAATTGACCTCTCTTCCGATTAAACTGTCGAGAGGTAAGTCACAGCTATTAAATTATTTCTGGCGAAGACTATTAAAACATGGACACTCAATTAAAATATGACGAACAGATACACAAACATTACAATTAAAACAAATAGGCTCATTTTCAGCTTTGAGAAGATAGTTATGTGTCACTCTAGCGTGACCAATTCTGAGGCGAGTCAAAAGAACTTCCTCCTTACGATTTCCAGAAAATCCCAATGCTCAATTCTAGGCTTTAAATATTTTAACTTGTTAAGCTGAACGTCCCAAATTTGCTGCCATTTTTTCCGGATCTTCTTTATGACACAGCAGATGTCTCTAAAAAGGATGAGTCGAATGGACACTTCAACAGCAGATTTTGCTGTGATATCTGCAAGCTCATTTCCCTTTATTCCCGCATGTCCAGGAACCCAGCAGTACATGACTTCCTACCCTCGCATTGTTAAGTTTATATGAACCTTGAGAATATCCACTACTACAACTTGGGAAAAGCTTCCAACGATTTAAGAGCACTATATGAGTCTATATAAACTATGAACTTTCGTGGCAGAGCTTTGAGATGTACAAAAGACCATAATATATTGCAATTAGTTCAGATGTTAGGACTGAGAAAGCATGGTGCAGACATCTGCCCTCTATGTAATCTTCAAATACAAATGGCATCCCGACATGATCATTTGACTTGGATCCGTCTGTATATATCGGGTAATAACTGCAATATTTTGTGCCTGTGCTCAGCGAAGAGTTGGTCTGTAAATGATCTCGTTGGTACTTGCCTTCACGTGATGTTGCCATAAAAGAAGGAGAAAGTTTTGTATTACGCAATATTGGAATGGAGCGTGTTGCAACCCCCTAGTATTGCACAGTGGTGCCGATTTATTCTCGTCAAGTATATAAATGTAACGCTATATATTTCTTCTTGTATGTCTAGCAGATTAGGTTAGATTAGGTAAGGGTTTGAAGCGAGTCTCCGGTGCTATATCCGGATAGTTTTGCTATGAACCGAGATTAAATCCTCAGTAATAATAATGATATTTTTTTAAATTTGTTAATAAAAAAACTTAGTTTACTTTGAAAGACTGATTACTTTGGTTCCGAAATACGATTGATGAAAGTTACGTTACGCATCTACAGAGCGAAACTTATTCGAAGGCAATTTTTAATTGGTTGTAGAACATGAAATTTAAAGTGGTATGGCTGAATGTTTAAATCCAAGTGCTTTTGATCTCCTTTTTGGCCTGAGTATGAAATTAAATTGTCCAAGAGCAAAATTATTATATTAAAAATTTGTTTAATTATGACGGAATGTCAAGGAAAAAGAAAATAGCGAGGATAACTATCAAACCTCTTCACTCAGAATCAGCGATATTTGGGACTTAAATGGGTTTTAGTTAGTAATAAAAATAGTAGCCAGATTTATGTACATCAAGTAACAGCTTTCTGGCAAGAAATCACCAATAATTAATTTTAATTTTCTTGTGTTTTTAAATATATTTTTAAATTTTTTTTATTTTTGTACGT